GGTCGTGGTCAATACCTTTCTAGCCAATCCATGGGCCCGAAGCTTCAGGCCTCATGCGCACAAGCGCATCTTCTAACCCAGCGGTTTGCTTATTGCAATCGGCCGAAGCTAGGTGGACCGGAAAATAGGCACTGGCGAAAATTACACAGGCAAGGATAGTCTGCGTGATCGTTCGAATCGCAATCTCTTCCAGATCACTCATTGGAACATTGTTGCAACCAACAGATGAAAGCAGACTCCGTATCGATCTACATTCTGCATGCTTGGGCGCAGCTCCAGAATTCCTTGCTCTTGCCCTAGGTAGCATACCCCTTGCAGTCTGCAGATCCTCACGAGAGATCGCTGGTTAATGGTACGATCTGGCCTACTGATTCATTCTCAACCGTGGATTTTCGAAGCAGAGCATAAGCACGAGCGGCCCACCTGCAGGTCCGACGCACGGCAGATCGCAGCCGACATCAAGGGAAGTCTACACAATTGGCATGTGCCTTGGCATGATTGATCGGACATACGCAGATGCTGATTTGTTCGTTAAACAGCTTGCATGACACCCAATCAAGCATATTGCGGCGACACTGCTGGTTTCAAAGCACATGGCACGTCTGAAAGCAATCTGTCAATCCTTGCGTCGCATGGCCGATGCAGACAAGCTTTGCGGTCAACAAACCTTGGCAGCAGCCTGTCTATTGCGCAGACGACCAGTGTCTAACCTGAAGCAAGTCTGGCATGACTAGCGTGCCACGTACGAGGCGCACTCCAGCTTGGCTTCCTATGCAAAGCTGCCTGATCAAGTCACTTGATCAGAACGAGCGGACCGTTTTAACTAATCTACCGGTGAAACTAAGGAGGTCATGGCTGCTCGAAACGATGGCTCCTTCTCAAGCAGCATGACATGGTCGGTCACTGGTCCACCGTAGGCTCTCCTGCAACAGTCACCCCTGCGGAGCCTGCCCGCCCTGCTGGACCCCCCCGCCCACTTCATACCGGCTGCGGTTGCCACTGTACAGGAAGGGCCGGGGGCCTACTTGGCGGTGACGCCTGTGTCCACCTCGTCCTGCACACAACCACATGGCCCCGCACGCAGGGTCAGAACATGAAGGGCAGCCGGCCCATCAATCATGCTACGGAACAACATGAGAATGAACAGCTAGGAAAATGCAGGTCGACCAGCCACCAGCACTGCCCAGGTAGCCCGCAGCGGCAGCCCGGGCAGGGACACGATGGCAAGCAAGACGCGGTGCGGCAGGGCAGGGGGGGGGGTACGCTCTTTACCAGGTTGAGGAGCAGGCTGTCCGAGTTGAGGAAGACGCGGTTGGAGGACGTCGAGATGGTGCCAGCAATGTCACGCGCGGCCTGCAACCGCAGCAACAGCGCGGCTTGAGAGGGGGCCAATGACACGACACACAGGATGTGGGGCAGGTGCACGACGCAGCGACTCTGATCTGCCAGGCACAATCTGACCGCCGCAGCCGCTCTGATCAAGCACACACATACCAAGGAGCGCAAATAGCAGCAAAGTGAAATGCAATGTCAGGAGCGGGGAGGGGGCCTGCGCAGGACGTGGGCAAGCGGGGCGCACCTCGATCCTCCTGAGCGTGATGAAGGCGGGGTTGTTCTTGATGGCGTCGCCAATCAGCTGCGCGCTGGTGGCCTCTCCCTCGGCCCGGATGATGGCCGACTTCTTGTCCTGCTCTGCCTTCTCCACCTGCGCACGCACACGCACACCGCCCCCGCGTCATCGCCCTGCCCATACCCGGGTGCACCAGTACGGATCAAGCAGCAACGACAAGCAGGCATTGATCATGCAACGGTACGTTCCAAACAACTTTTGCGGTACAATCTGGCATGCCATACCCCAGCCTGTGCCTCGCTGTGCCACTTACCACAAAGCGCGCCCGCTCAGCGTCCTGGGCGGCCACCTGCTTCGACTCAATAGCTGCCGTGTACTCGCGGCCAAAGGTCAGCTGGAAGACAGCCACCACGGCAGTACGTCAGGCAAACAAGCCACCCTCATACTGCAGCATGACAATGGGACCAACGGAAGGAGTCTGCAAGTCTACACGAAACCACGCCACAGGCTCTGCTGCGAGTCAGGTCCCCAGCCGGCCCCAGCCTGCCCCAGATATAGCGACGCTGTCCACTGGCCCAGTGGCCCAGCGTGTGCGCGGCAGAGTGCTGCGTCCTGACCTGCGTGATGGAGACATCATCGAGGGCGATGTCGAAGAAGCCCGCACGCTCCAGCAGGATGCGCCGGATCTCGCGGCTCACCACCTCACGCTGCACACAGCAGCGGTGCACACGCCAGCCTCAGCGCATGGGGAAGGATCGCGGGCAACGTCCAATGGAGCGCGGGCTAGGAGCATCGCAAGCAGCATCCCCACCAATGCACGGGAAGACAGCCAACGCCTCCTTGGATGCCAGTCCGGCGCCATTGGGCCGACTTTCCATCCAGCAAGAACGACCTACCTGGGTTATGAGCTGGCTGGCGTTGTACTGCGCCACCACAGACTTCAACGTCTCCTGCAACAAGACGTGGGCCACAGGTTGAGAGGGATGTTGATATGGACAAGGCAGAGTGGCGACAGAGGTGTGATAAGAGACTGGGTTCAGTGGGGGCAGATAACAAGGGGTCAAGCCTCCAAGACATGAGTAGCAAGGCACTGTCGGCAGGCTCCCCCAGGGAAGGCGTGCGGGTGCGCATGGTGGCGCCGCACCTGCACGATGGAGGGCAGCACTCTCTCGGCGTAGTCCATGCCCAGCGTGCGGTAGATGTGCGGCAACCGGTCCGCCATGGGCCGCGTCAGCACCCGCAGCGTGATGCGCACCTGCACACACGCAGCGCCTGCGTCAACAGCAAGCCGGTGCGGCCCAGCCGGCAGAACAGGTGCTGCTCATGCAAGCGCAACACGTCCCACTTGCGGACGATTGCCCCGGGGAGGTGGGCACCTTGCACTGAGTACATTTGGAAAAATGTTGCTCACCATCTGGAGGTCCTTGCTGCCGGAGACACTCTCCACAAGGTTGGGGCGCGCGCGGACGTCATAGATGATGGGCCGCTCAAACCAGGGGATCATCAAGTGTGTGCCCTCCGGATACACCTGGACAGGAACCCCAGTCAGCAGGACAGCACACCCCGCCGATACACAGTTCAAGGGATAGCAGAGGCAAACAGAGGCGACGACCTCTGCTGGCCCCTAGCCACAAGAGAGTCTGATGATACCACTTGCACCATCAGAAGACCCCCTTGTGACTCAATAGGCTCTCAACATGGCACCAAACAATGAGCCCATAGATCGCATCCACGACCTCTGTGCCAGAATCCCAGTACGACGCCAGAAAGAGTGCCGGCGAGGTAAGAGCGTTCGGCGGATGCAACCACTATAGGTTGATGGACAAAATCAAACTACCATCTCCTCTCGGTGAGCTGCTATTCGTTTCCAAAAGCAGGGCGTGCGGCCTCATATCAACGGGTGCCAAGCAGTGAACCTATATTGATCAATCTGAGAATTGACCTCTGAGAACGAGAAAGGAGGCTTCAAACTGCTGAATGATGGCAGGCGATGACAAACCATTACCATGATTATTTGCACTATATCATGAGCTGCACAGAGTACGTTCCTCAATGCGAGTTTCAGGCAATCCTATAAGTGGCAGCCTGCACCCCATGCAGGCTTAGATCCCTGCGCGTGTGCATGTGCCCCACCTTGTCCTTGATACCCACGATCCTGTTGAACACGATGGCGCGGTGCCCTCCCTCCACATTGTATAGGCTGTTGGCTGCGCCGTACACCCCCAGGCCCCCCAGCACCGCCAGCTGCAGCAGACGGGAGGCTGCGCCCGCAGGAGGCAGCTTCACGTTGCGCAGAGAGTTGAGGTTATTCATGCTGCAGGCGGGGGAACTTGTGTAGAAGAACAGCACCACAAACAGCGGCCCCTTTCCCTTGACCAACTTGCAATTCGGGTTGTGTGCCGAAAAGCACTGCGCAAATCCCAGCCTTTGACAGGCTGACTGACAGCACAGTGCTTTGCAGAGCTAGGGTCGCGAAGATGGTGCGTACCCGGGTACCACGTGGTTACAATCCAGCGATGTCATTGGCTGCTGCAGACGACCTTGTATGTAGCCTGGGTCAGGCCTGGGCCTAGTTGCCGGCCAGGGCCATGATGGCTGCATTGGCATGCCATTGATGCGGGAGACTCAAAGTCAGTACGGTACTGTTGATCAGGAGGCCATTCACCATTGGTAGGTGCGTAGGTGGCGCTTCCCAAGCCTGCATTTGCGGCATTGATACCCTGAGCCGTACAATGAGCTGATTGCCCAGCAAGACGCAAGACGGGCTGAGAGGGCGGTAAAGATGCTTCTCGCTGGGCGAAGCAGAGGCCGCATGGTGGTGGCTGGGTCTACCACTGTCATTCAGGAGGGGGATTTGGTCATCGTTTATGAGAGCCACGACCGGATGAAAGCTGTGAAGGTCTCGGCAAAAGAGACACTCCAGAACCGTTTTGGCAGCTTCAAGCACAGCGACTGGATTGGAAGACCTTTTGGGAGCAAGGTACGCTGCTTGCGGCTACGATGACCAGGTGGTGCAGACAATTGTGCCGATAAGGGGCTATGTTGGGGATGGGGGGCGTTGTTGACTTCAGGTTGCTGGTCCTATAGCAATCACAAGCCATTCTTTCGGGGACGGAACCTTGTTTACTGAAGTGAGGAGTCCTTGCCTAACCATTAAGTGATGGCTCTGAACGTGTTCTTCTGAAAGGATTGTCTGCTTGATCGGCAGTTGGTCAATGTTAACGCCGTCGTCTGTGCCCAGGTCCACTCATGCACCCAGGGTGGCTTCGTGCACCTGCTCGCCCCTACTCCAGAGTTGTGGACCCTGGTCTTGCAACACCGCACGCAGATTCTGTATGCACGTGAGTCATCCTTGCCTTGCTGTGAAGTGCCAGATTGACCCCCGCTTTGGGACCTGGCTGGCTGGCCCAACAACTTTGCAATTTATGATAGACCCAAGCCGAGTTTTCTTACATGTTTGTTTGTAAGTTTTGCATCTTGCTTATTGTTGGCTGTACCACCTGTCGTCAGTCACCGCACATCGTACTCTACTTGGGGGCTAGCTTCAACAGCTTGGACGAGCACAAGCACATATCTGGCATTTCAAAGTGTCTACCTTTCATGCCTGCGTCCCCACCTGCGCCCTGCCTGCAGCGGACATCAGCCTGGTGGTGTCCTTCTTGGAGCTGAAGCCAGGCAGTGTGGTGCTGGAGTCGGGCACCGGCAGCGGCTCCCTCACCACCTGCCTCGCCAGGGCCGTGGCCCCCACAGGGCATGTGCACACCTTTGAGTTCCATGAGCCGAGGGCGATCGCAGCGCGGTATGAAGGCCCCTCTCAGACCCCATCCAGTAGTCAAGCACGGTGTTGGATTTGAGAGGGTTGGGGGTTGGGATTCGCACTCTCTTAACAAGGTACCTTGGCGCAACGTACATGAGTTTGACAGCAGCGATCCTTGCATACCCTGTCATTCCCGTTGCAGGGCTCGTGACCTTTGCCCCGTGCTGGTGTAGGGAGGAGTTTCTTCGCAATGGCCTGGACGGCCTAGTGACGGTGCGTGTGCGCGATGTGGAGGCGCAGGGGCTGCCTGCTGAGCTGGCGGGCCAGGCGGACGCCGTGTTCCTGGACCTGCCCGGGCCCTGGAACGCGGTACCCTCCGCCGCGCGCGTGCTGCGCCCTGATGCGCCCTTCTGCTCCTTCTCCCCCTGCATCGAACAAGTGCAGCGCACCTGCGAGGAGCTAGCCGCACACGGGTTTGCAGGTGAAGGGCAAGGGGGCAATGGTTGAGCTTGTTGTCGAAGATGTGCATGGAATCTGTAATCATGAGACGAGGACTTGGCAAAATATCCGCATTGGATTGAAGTTGAGGTTCTCGAAGGTCCTCATGATGGGCTCTCCTGACTGTACTCTGGGTGTGCTTGCAGATGTGCGCGCCTTCGAGATTCTGCTGCGCACGTACGATGTCCGCTCAGAAGCATGCAGCGCACAGCTCCTTGGCGCGGCCGAGAGCGTGCCGAATGGGAAACGTACCAAAGCGCAAGGGGGGTCAGAGCAGAAACGACAGAAATCAGACGCGGCACAGCGGGGTGTGAATGACAGATCCGAGTCTGCGTCAGGAACGGCTGATGAGGGAGAAGGGGACGCAACAGGGACTCGGAGCCGGGCCAGTAATGTAGGTAAAGTTGAGGGGTCAGCTGTCCCAAGTGGAACAGAAGGTAGTGATCCGGCTCCCACCACTGAGGCAAGGGACGCAACTGAAGAGCAATCGAAATCAGTTCCTTCCACGCTTGGCAGCGTGGGAAAGGTGATACTAGCCCGACCAACAGCCGAAACACGAGGACACACAGGATACTTGACGTTTGCTCGACGTGCATGTTCAGGGGCATAAGCTTATGAGACGAAGTGCAGCACCGTTAGTAAGGAGGTGTCCACTGCATGTTTTTGAGCACAGCCTTCTTATTGTCCTCATCGTTGATGAGTTGTGATCCTTTGCAACCATCTACTAAATGCTGAAATTCTCGCAAACAATCGCAGAGCTTGAGTTCGCCGTTTCCGTTTTTTGAATTGGAGGAAACGGTGTACTTGAAGAGCAAAAGATCTTGTGAATCGGTTCACAACCATATATGCTTAGAAAGTGAAGCCAGGAGGTGATCTAGGGTCGGGAGATATGTCGTCAGCCATCTGCAATCTTGGCTCATAGGTCCAGATGCTCTTCTTCGTATGTAGAATGACCACTTGTGGGTCATCGATTGTAACTTGTCGATGATTGCTTTTAAGAGACTCTGCCACTCGTCGATTCACAAAAATTCTTGGGTATGTATCCCGGCTGTTGCACCCCATTTGCACAATTTGACTCATAGGCACTGCATCCGCTGCAATGACCAATCTTTGAATAGCATCCCGTTTCATCAAAAGGTTGCTGCTATAGCACGCCTTGCCTGTTCAAAGTCGACTTCGAATGAGGCGCATTGTGGCTTCTAAGACTCATAATCCAACTCGCAAATAATACCTGCCAGGGATAAGACTTTTGCTAGGGGATTGGTCATAGCCCTGGTTCTGGAAAGGTGGCTCTCCTCCTTTCATTTGTTCATTCACAGTGTCATGACCCATGTGGCGATCATAGCGCCCGTGTAAGCGGTGCATTGGGGCGGTTTCGAGTTCGAGGTCTGCTCCAGCGCAGCCTTTCCAAAATGAGAGGATCAGAAGAGCAGGAAGGAAGTGCGTGACTTAAAGCTCCTACAAGCTCCAAACACCACGGTCCCGCACTCGAGAGCGTGCGGGACGGGTGCGGGACTCGAGCCCGGCCTGCCTGCATGCACAGGTAGTCACTGCAGAGCCCACATGGCACGAGCATTGAAACAACTACAAGAATTACCTACGACACATCTGTAGTCCTATACCTTTGTACCTACGGTAGGACTAATTTCTTTCCGTAGCTAGTTCTTGCCTCCGTGACCTTGGCTCATGCCATCGAAACCTAAGTTCGCGCGCCAAGCTAGTGACTGTAGATCGTTTAATCAAGAGTGCGGGGGCTTTGGGCCCCCGCACTCCGTCTGGTGTGAACAACGCAAGTGGGCCCCTCGAATAGTCTTGTTGACACTGCTTTTTATTTTCGGTGCGATATCTGTGCAAAGCGCTTTTAGTCGTCCAGTTGTACACCCAGAAATGTTTTGGTGCACACCGGCCAAGGGGTCGTGCACGACTGATAGAGCTGACACTATTCTTTGAATCCGGTGCGACAAAATAATGCCTTGCTCGCGCTCGACCAAAATGCACACCAGATGTCAAATCCGGTGCAATCGAACTTGGGGTTCAGGCTCGACTCGTATCGTTGACACAAGTTGCGAGATCGGTGCGAGCTCAACAGAAAGCTTTCCAGTCGTGCGATTGTGCACCGGCTGACCAGATTTAGTGTCGTTTATCAACCACATACAAATCGACTGAACCCGCTGACACACAGCATTCAAATACGGTGCGACAAATCTGAGCAGACACAGCAGTAGTGCGTGATATGCACCGGTTCCGGAAGAAAGTGCTGGGTCTTCAACGTTACGTGCTTGACTCGGACATTTGACACCACTTGGCAGTCTGCGACGGTCCTTATTATTAACACCAGCCCAGCCGCGATATTCTGGTGTTTAGTCGGAATTCGGCGACGGCGTTAAGCTTACGTCACTCAACCAATCAGATCGCAGGGTTCCTCCAGGCGAGTCACTAAGAGCCCCCTGATAAGGAAATTATATCTGCGGTGCGTTCTCCATCTTCTGCTCCGAGATTCATCGACGAAGTTCCAAATTAAAACTATCACTATTCCGAATTCATCGAGAGTATTTTGTGCGGTGGAGATTCATCGGACGGCAGATTTCACTGACGGGGTGTAGCGTCATCCCGGCGGCAATTTGCGCGCTAGCATTGCAGTTGGACTAATTAATATAACGTAGTCATTTGTACGCGAGCAAAGCCAAGATGCGATGAGCGCCACGCGGGCCGATCGAACGGTTTAGCCACGTAATAGCTTGAAAGGCCAACATTCTTGAAAACGCCAGGCGTCAAGGTAGGTAGGCTGGGATATAACCTACTCAATAACATAATATAGCCTCTTTTAGCTGTGGGTAATACTTGGATGAGAATCAATGTTGGGTACTTCCAGTCGCGGAGGGCATTGGCCGCCAGGCCAATGTCCCACGCCTCTCACAAGGTTATCGGCTTATTGCGTCCTGAGCGATCCAATTTCCGACACCCTTCATTCTGATTCGTAACTTACTTTGTATTGGTTCCGAAGTTGCACTTGGCCCACATGGGCGCTTCCAGGCCCTACCGTTAAGTACGTGATGCTGAGCGGACTCCGCCAGAAAGGTGTCCAGCACCAGAGCACTGCACAGAAGCTTCCACAGTGGATCACTGGACGTGGCATGTGCCCATCAAATCATCTCTTGGCTCACACTGGCAGTCTCCACGTACAGCAGGAAAGGAGGCGCCTTTAGACTTCGCTTCGGATGCCAGTGGCAGCTGCAGCTGCAGCCCCCAAAAGCACAATTGCAGCGTAGGAGTCCAGACAAGCGATCGATGCAGCTGGTGGCCATCGCATAGGTGGTAGTCGCCAGCAGCAGTTGCCCCATCATGGCGGCCCCACAAGTTGCGGTGGTGGTGGGCGCTGGCCCCGGGCTTGGCTTTGCTGTGGCGCGGCGCTTTGCAGCTGGCGGGTTCCATGTGGCTCTGATGAGCCGCACGGCGGAGCGGGTGGAGGCGCTGGCGCAGCAGATTGTGAAGGACGGCCACCAGGCGACCGGGGTGGCGGTGGACGTCACCGACGCACACTCGGTCAAGGCCGCATTTGACTCAGTCAGAAAAAAGCTGGGGGATCCCTCCGTCCTGGTGAGGCTCCCGGGGCAAATACAGGTTTGCGCCATTCTCTTGGGCCATTGCCTGCATCTATCGAGGACCCTTCGTCCTTCATTTGTTCTCATATCTTCCTCGGATATAATCAGGCAACGAGCTGCATACCTTGCATACATCATGCGGAAACAGTGAGCTTTTTCTTCTTTCCGAAGCAGGTGTACAATGCCAACACGTCCTTTCCTTGGCCACCCCCCAAGTTCATGGACATCACTCCGGAGCACTTTGAGGGCTCCATTGCGGCGCAAGCCACAGGGGCCTTCTACGCAGCGCAAGAGGTAAAAGTTTCAGTGATCATTGAGCTTGCCCTCTGATATCAAAGCTTGAGCTTTTGCCCTATGGCTTGATCATGTTCCGAGCATGCTGTGGGACTGGTATCCCTTCAAAGCTCATTGGGGGCCAGTGTTTGATAAAACTTGGGCTTGCTGACTATTTCTGCATTGCAAGCCTCGGTGGCTACGACACCCGTCTTGTTTCTTGTGTGCTGCAGGTGCTTCCCGCCATGATAGACAAGAAGAGCGGCACCATCTTGCTCACAGGGGCAACTGCGTCTTTGAGGGGAGGCGCAAGTTTTGCCACTCTTGGTAGGCACGCCTTGCTCTGCTCGAGTGAGCAGTGGGCATGTATGAATTGGCCTGTGTGGTTGACCTTTCCAACTGTCCTTATGCCTTCAGAATCTAGACCAGCAATCATTGTGCACACAGGCGCCATGTTCTGTTAAGCGAGCGAAGCAAACATGCTCTATCAGTTCGACCCCCGGGACTTGTAGTCCGAGAGGGCTGCCTGTGTGTTCGCTTCTCCTGCTTTGTCCACACATTGGTTTGCGCAGTTGTCCGTTGTAGACATTCATGTCAGCATGCGTGCACTCCGGTGTTGTCCAAACGGGCACCAACCCAACCCTCGGCCCTGTTGCTTCGACTTCGACATGAGCATGCAAAGGCTTTTCAATCTGAATCAGGATGCGTGTTCTTTGGACAGCTGTTGGCAAGTTCGCCCTCCGCGCATTAGGGCAGTCGCTGGCCAGAGAATTCCACCCGCAAGGCATCCACGTGGCACACGTCATCGTGGATGGACAGATCAGAAGCGAAAGGTGAGGTGGCTGGTTTCGTTTCTCCGACGAAAACGGCTTGAGTCAAGATTTGTTCCAGCTATGCTCAAACTGCCATTTCCGCAGTCAGTTTCAATGGTCTTGAGAGTTACATGCGGGGGTACAGTACGTCCGGTCTTTGTCTGCTCTGAAGCTGTCGGTGTGGATGGATCAACCTCAATTGAAGTCGGTTCTTACTAAGGCCTTTGACTTAATGTGTCCTGATTGTGGTGTGCAGGTATGCCAGCCCCAGTAGAGCTCCTGACTCATTCCTCGACTCGGATGCTCTGGCTGAGCAATACTGGCAGCTTCACGTCCAAGACAAAACGGTGTGGACTCACGAGCTGGATGTGAGACCCTATTTGGAGAAATTCTGAGCATCTGAAGTCGAGTATATACAGAGTGCACGATCCGGCTCTCGAGAGTGGAACAGGATGGTGAGTTGCAAAGGCAGCTTGTATTATGGTACGTGTGCATAGTATGCCTCGTGATCCATTGGACTACGCGGTGTTCGAGGAAGTCCTTCATGGTCGGTCTTCGTACTGTCCTAAGAATTGAAAGGCTGTATTGTTGTATTTACTGAAGATGTTGTCTGAGCCAAAGTACACGTCAAACAACGATTGACACAGGATTGGGCTATAGATCACGCTCGCTACCCTGCAAACAGCCAGGCGTTCATGGGTTAACATGTATTGCATGTAGCATCGATACACATACCCATATTTTATTTAAGGCACAACTTCAACTCAAACGAGAAGATATAGCAACATGAACAATGTTGGCAGACACAACAAGGTGCCTCGTCGGTCCAAGGACCAGAGTCCCTACCTGCCATCGATGCTTGTCACCAGGGAGTTGTCAGGTCGCCATAACTGTATAACCCCACCAGGGCGATGTGAGCGGCCTCTGAAATCTTACAGAATGGACCACCATGCTTTCAGACGTGAGATTGTTGATATCCAGGTCATCAACAGATCGGAGCCCCGACTAATGTATGACAGCAGTCGAGGAAAGGGCACATAGGGCGAGGGATGCTTACCAGTTCTACTTTCGTGCCCTTCTTCAGGATTTTCTCGCTATAGAAAACCTTCGTAAACTGCTTCAGCTGCATCGTGCATTGGCATCATTAGTACGGCTCGGTCAGCAGGAACATGCTCTGTACATCGTAGTGGACAATCAACCAAGACCTGAACTTCAATGACAATGCGCTAGTGTTGAAGCAGTCTGACAAAGCCTTGGGAGCATCTACCTAACAGGAGCCAGACTCAGAAGGGACATTGAGTTTCTCACCGCATTCTTCCCGTCCCCTTTCTTGAAACCCCCTTGCCTTTCTCGAACACGCGGAATCAAGGAGCGATCAAAGCCCTGCATGTTACAACCAGAGAGACGTTACTGATGTTCAGTCTGTTCGCCGACACCAGTCAATTCTGCGGGCACCTTGCACGCATTCCTCTCGACCATCTGAAACAGGTTTAACCGGATTTCCAGTACCGCGGGCTCTCGTTCTGTCTGCCTGGCTTTGCTGCGTGGCTGTACCTTGGCGATGTGGTGCCCGTCCACGTCCCTGTCCATGACCAGCCGCAGCATCCGCCCCGCCCCCACCGCCGCCAGCAGCTCTCTCCGCAGGGCCTCCGTGGTGGCCGGACCTGCGCCGTTCCCGGGCAGCCACCGCCGTGCCTCCTGCCCCTCCTGAACAAACGCAGCAAGGAGGAGATGACCCCAAGTACAGGGAAGCTCTGGATCACCTGTCATCTCTAAGGTATCTACCGGTGCAAAATGGCTTCTCAATGATGCACGTTGGAGAAGTCAGACAGCACTCCTCAGGCACCGCCGCCGAGCTTTGCAGCTTTCTACTCACCTCAATGTATACGCCCACCGCATACGCCCGTGCGTACTTGTAAGAACAGGCCCCAAGCATGCACCTACGAGAATGAGAGCAGCAAAGTTTTACACACATTTCTATGTCATTCGCCGCTTGACAGCCTCAGTTCGGATGGACCGAAAAGAGCTTCTGTCTTGAATTTGGACATGACTTGACTACATGACAAGATGCTTTTCTTTCGGACTCACAGTCTGCTGTAAGGAGACATGAAGAAGAAAGGCGGAATGGCCTTAAAGTACAACTGAATCTGAAAGCATTGTTAGAAATGACTCCGATGGTCGAGACGGTTATATCTGAAAAGGTAGACAGTGATTCATTACCTGACTGCCGTCCCTAAGAGGTGATACTGTTGACCGCCTTCTCCACACTTCTTTGACATCCGCACTTGCAGAGGGAATTGGATCCCAGTGAACTTCTCAGCGAGTGCCTCAGCTGATTCGAGGGGTGGTGCATCAGACGGCGAGCAGCCGCCCCTGTCCTGGGCGTCAGCCTCCTCCCGCAGATTCTCCGCCTCCATGCTTGCGGCGCTCGCGTACAAGCTGGCAGCCGCGGCAGCTAGCCCCAGGAGGGGAACAATTGAGCCGGTGCGCGCCCCACCCCTGGGGTTTGCAAGACTGCAATCTTGCACCGTACTGAAGGCCGCATTAGTGGCTGCTAACAAGCCAGGAAACGCCTGGGGACAGTAGTGCCGTGCCACCTGATTGTCACCCCTTGCGGACCTCCACTCACGGGAGGCCGGACCGACGCGAGAGGAGACGGCGCGGTAGAGCTGCCTCCAGGCCTTCAGGGACGTCATGGCCGGCCCAGAACAGAATGCCCAGGTTTGAAGTATGATACTCAAGGACTAAATCCTCCTCACCGTAACTTAGTACCAGCAGATCAGACTTTCATTCTGTTGACATGTACTACCACATCCCACCGCAGAACAGCTGGGACCAATATGCGAGGAACCAACACTAACAATTCTGAATACTTTGTACTTCTCTTAGGCCCAAACCACTAAACTTTAGAAGGAGCGCCCTTGTTCTCCCCGTGAACCCGCCTATATGCTCAAACCAGCTCAAGCTATGCAGGGGCGGCCGCCTCACCAGTCCCCAACTAGAGCTGTTGACATCAGTGTTGATGCAAATGCCGCCCCAGGGCCAGGGCAGAAACCCAATACCAACCTCGGAATGCCAACTCGCTTGCAAGTTGCAAGGTCCAGCTGATGCTGCACAATGCTGTCAGTGTCATTGAGTTGCCTTGCCAAGACTTGCCATGGGACTTTTGGCAACGTTCGCTTGAATAATAACAGGCGCTTGAACTAGAGTAGGTGCCCGGGAGACGGGTGGGGTTGGCATGGTGGTTAGGTTGGGTTTCGGGTGTGGAGCGCGTCATTTTCTGGGTTAGGGGTTTTAAATTGAGTTCCCCGGTGACTCGAAATATAGTTCAAGCGACTGTTAATAGTTGGCCAAGCCCTTCAATCGACGGCTGACAAACTGACAATAATTAACATGCTCTTGACAAGTGTCAATGTGTGATCCCTATGGTCGGCAATCGACGGGTCGAAGTGCAAGATCGGACGGCTTACATCATGTCTTGTAAAGGAGAATCCAGGCTCCAGCTTCTGACCTTTTTGACGGCCACGATGACTCGTGGTGTCTCATCAAAAGGCACCTTTTGCATGAAACACCCAAAACAATGTCAATGAGTCGCGCATCAGACATCTTTTGTATCCCATGTGCAGCTTTCCCAACTTCTGTTGGCTAGGTCCTAGGTCCTAAACTGGAGTTCTCCATGATTCCTGACCGGAACTCATGCATGATCGGTGTGCTGCTCTGCATGACATTGCTCCGCTCAGGGTAGGCCATAGGATGTGTTCGTTACTGATCCAGCTTCGGGTTTGAAAGATGAAAATAGTTTAAAGCAGCAGCAGCAGCAGCTCCAGCTCTGAGTTTCTTAGGATGATACTACTAGACCAGGATTAGCTGCCCACCTATTCGAATGCCAATGGCGTTTCTCCGGCCTTCCTTCCTGCTACCGGGTCGCTACATCCGCTGCTTCCTGCTCAGTGGCCCTGGCCTTGACAACGTCCACATTCTTGCCCGGCCCGCTTCTAACGATGGGGAGACAGACTGTGACCCGGCGGCGCCCATCGCTGGGGTTCCACGCATGGCGGCCAGGCCGGCCCCAGCAGCGGGGCAGCATTGGGTGCATGCTGGGCGGGCAGCCGGGCAGGATTGGAGGCAACACGCATACCACTCCAGGTCATCGCCCTTGCCACTCATTGGGGCGCACCGGGGGGTGGTGCAGCGCGACGACGAGATTGTAGGGTCCGGGGGGGGCCAGGCGCGGAGTGGGACAGCATTTCAAGGAGCGCCCAGTACGATGTTCCCGAAGGCACCAGGGTGGCCGTCGGTGGGCAGGGTGCGCACCCACATGGGCCACAGCCATGACCACGCAGCGCATGAGCCGGTGACCTCCGAGGGGGAGAAGGTCGTGCGCCTGGGCTTTTGGAGCGACATTGGGCTGACCATCGGCAAGGCAAGCGGCAGTTCTCCACATTGGCCTCCACATTGGCTCTGCTTTGGGCTAACTCTCATGATGCGCACATTGAGGCTAAGTTGGGCCTTATTTATCATACTCAGGTCTTTCAGCTTCCTTAGATCCCCTCCTATTGATAAGATCCTGACCCCCAATGCCCACCTGAGCTGCCCCTTCCCATTCTCTGTGTGGCCAGGCGGGTGCGGGCTACATCTCTGGCTCCACGGCCATGCTGGCGGACGCTGCTCACTCCTTCTCCGACATTGCGCTGAGCGGCGTCAGCTGGTGGTCGGTGCGCGCCGCAGCCGTGCCCAAGGACAAAGAGCACCCCTATGGTGAGTTACTGTAGACCGTGTTACGCGCGCTGTGGCTTATAAGATCCACTTGCAGGGGTGGTCCGGTTGGAGGGCCTTGAAAACTCTGCCACAAAGTCTTCGTGATGGCACTTTTGGGCATCAGGTCTGTTGCAGCTTCTGCTTTGCTTTTTCACTGCAGCTTCAGAGTTGTTCCCTGCGTGGGCCTCATCATGGTTTCGTCGGGGGTTCTGCTTACTGTAGATCTTCGGGCCCTTACCATAGAATGTTATGTCTCTCTGGTTGTGTATCATACTTCATACAATGTAGGTGCACAAGGCAGATCTCCTTCTTCGATCTGAGGGCGTCTGGTTGTCTTTCTGTGCAGGCCATGGCAAGTACGAGTCCCTTGGAGCGTTTGGAGTCTCGGTGTTGCTCATTGCGACTGGGGCCGGCATTGCGTGGAATGCCCTAGAAGCTCTTCAGGTAGGTCCTTCAGGTAGGATTGTAGAGGAGATGCTAAGCTTGTCGAATGTGATTCCGTCCAAGTGAACACAGGTGGGCTCGCTGTGGAAGCATGACTGCCTCAGCCGCCTGCTCGAGAACACAAGCACTTCTTTCGAGTGGTTTGCACAAGTCGGAGTCTAGATTCGTCTACAGCTGTTGGTGAGGGACTCTGAGCGGTGGCGTGTGCTGCAGGCCGCGATGGGCCCCGCCTTGGCCCTGGCTGCCTCGTCTCTTCCTGACGCGCTGAGCGCAGCGCAGGCAGCCGTGACGTCGGGACATGACCATGGGGGACACTCCCATGCCATTGACACGGGCAACCTGGGGGTGGCACTCGCAGCAGCGCTGCTCTCCATTGGTGTCAAAGAAGGGTAGGAACTCTTTCAGCAGGAGACTTGTCCTCTTTGGTTTCGGGGCGAAGGTTCGATCCTCTGACTGGGGTCCTCGAAGCTACTTCTTCTATTCGAATCTTCGATCAGAACAGTCCCAAAAAGACAACAGTCTCAATGGCTGGAGTCAACACTTTGACTCCAGAAGCTGTGCCAGCTCAATTAAGTTTTCGGTCCTTCTTGTCACGCCTCTCCCCCCTTTCTCGCGCAGGCTGTACTGGCGCACCAAGGCGGTGGGGGAGCAGACGGGCAGCCAGCTGCTGATGGCCAACGCGTGGCACCACCGTTCCGACGCGCTCTCCTCCCTGGTGGCCCTCGTGGGCGTCGGTGAGACGCGCGCAAGCAGCAGCCTGCCACCTCGAGCGCCATTCTTGCGAGACATGTCCTCCGTGGTCGCTTTGGCGCTCTGGTTCCTTATGGAATTGAACAACCGCACTCCGTCTCTGTACGCCGTACTCATCAAAGAAACGATTTGCACTGAGCCACTACAAGGATTACTCAATACTCCAAGTGATAGAGCGTCATGGTGACCTCGAAGCCTGCTCCGTCGGTTGTTGACGGACCGCTCTATCCTGTTGCAGCGGCCGTCGCTCACCCGCGTGCGTGTTCACTTGCGCAGGGGGTGCGTACCTGGGTGTCCCCTGGCTGGACCCGGTGGCGGGGATGCTGCTGGCGGGCATGATCGTCAAAGCCGGCCTCGACATCTCCACCAACAGGTGCGCGCACCGGCCTTCTACTGCCGCCCGCTTCTTCTACCGCCCACATGGGCTTCGGTAGCCTGGACTCTTCTTGGTGCACATCACAGAGCGCCTTGGTCGAATCGTAGCCGGATCGGGGCCAGATAGGAGCTTCTTAGTTCAAATTTGTGGCGAAGGCTTGGAGCAAGGCCCCATTTCGAGGGCGCTTCTAAGGGAACAGGAATCGGTTCCCGCAGATTGGAGCCGTTTTTCGTAACGCCGGTTCCTGCTCGCAGCAAGTTGGCCAGCCTGGGATCGGGGTCTGGCTCCCGTTCGTCAGCCAATATCGCAGCTCAATGCTCCGGTTTGGCCCCGTTTCGAGTCCTGTTCGCAGCTAAGGCGCGCTGTGCATATTTTTGATTGTGTCACCTCTCCCGGGCCGCGAGTACCTCTTTGACGTCGTCGACGGTCTGTGACGGGGTTGATGTGCCCCTGTGTGGTGCGCAGCGTGAAGGAGCTGGTGGACGCGTCAGTGCCGGACCCCGTCCTGACGTCGCTGCGGGACACGGCCATGGCGGTGCCCGAGGTCAAGGTCAGGGCCGGGCCAGCCACACCGGTCAAGTGGCGCCTCTGTATAAGTGCGGCTGTTGGGGGTCGCAACGAATCCACCACCGAAAACGGATCTTCGCCTTTGTGCCGCGAATCGCGCCTCGATCTGTCGTTCATGATCGCCCACGTCCTCCCGGGCTTTTGCTTGACGGCGGGACTGCTGCCTGCGTGCAGGGCTGTCATCGAGTCCGGGCCCGCAAGATGGGGTCCAACATCGTGGGAGACCTGACCATCGATGTAAGCACGCACGTGTCGGGCCAGCGTGGGTTACGTGCATTATCCTGCCTCCTTATACTCGCCAATCAACTCCTCCACGGTTGCCGTGAGGTTCGTCGCCTTGGTGTGGTCTACTGATGGCTCCCGCTGTGCTTTCAGGTGGCTCCCTTCTTGAGCGTGAGCGCCGCACACAACGTCGCGGAGGTGGTCCGGCTGGCCCTGCTGCGCAAGAACCCCTCTCTCGTCGACGTCATCGTACATGTGGGTGAGAGGCCCGTGCACTGTCCCCCGCCATGCAACGAAGCCCCACGGGGAGTTCCACGACCTTTCATCGGAAAGACAGGCACGTGCCTCGGCACAAGGATCGAAAAATGCAATTCATGTTGGTGGCACCTAATGCCTGGCGAAGATGTTGTCGTCAACAGTCTCCCCCCCGTCTCTGCCCAGAGCCCGATGATGCTGCTCACGACGACGAGCTCCCCCCACATCGAGCCTCGAGTGCGAGGAGCAGTGGCAACGGAGCTGGCCCCGACTGGAACGAGGCCCATGTGGAAAGTGTGGCGGGGCGGGAGAACGCGCACGCCCACCAGGCTGTGCGCGAGCAGGAGGACGGGCTGAATCGCCACCGCGAGCAGCTGCCGCTGCAGTCCGACGTGGAAGCGCAGATCCGGGAGCGCGTCAGCAGCAGCTTTCCGGAGGTGAGGACGCTCAGCGGCGCGGATTGGAAAGAGGCAGGGGGATCACGCTTGCCTGCAGGGGTAGTGGGGCGGGCACTTATGTCCGGGGAGACGGGGACAGTCTGAAGAGCGTGGGGTGATGAGCTTGGGCCAATCTGGAATGCAGCAGATGCAGGCATTGCAGGAGGAGTGCGAATGACCATTCCCGGCGTCCGTTGTTTGACTGCTTTTCCCTGGCGGTGAGGAGCAAGCTGTCTTCCCCCGCGCTTGCCCGGACGTGTGGAGAGACGCGTTGCGTGGCCCTGTTGCCATCTCTTTTTGGTCGAGCCTCCCGTGTCCGTCGTGCAGGTGGTCGCCGTGACGCACGTGACGTGTCACTTTCTGGAGCGGGGGACCATCGCGCGGATCACCATCCAGGTGGACCCTGCCATGACCGTCGAGTGAGCCGCAGAACCCCTGTTGGCAACCCTGCGACACGAACAGTTGTTGTTGTCTTGGAGCGTTACTCGCTGTTTGTTGCTTGGCGAACCCCCGCTTGTGTTTGCCGTCGGGGTGCCCCCCTGCTGCGTGCTGCTGGTGTGCGAGTGTCCGCCCCTCTGCCGCTGTGCCGCAGGGCTGCTGCCCGCCTGGGGCGGCAATTGGAGGCCGACCTGGAGCGCAGCCTGGCCGACGTGGCGGAAGCGGACGTGCACCTCGAGCTCAACAGCCATGCGCCGGGCGCAACGTGAGGCGGCCATGCGACCACGTGCGGCCCGGACATCAGCATTAACAGTGAACAGCTTGTAGCTCGGACATTTGCCATCCAGAGTCTGAAGTTGGAGACCATGATTCGATCTGATGAAGCCCGACATGTTGGCTCTGTGGCACTTCCGCTTGAGTTGCTTCGTGTCCCGCCAGTCCGTCAGGTTGGTACAACTGGTGGTATGGTCAAACCGACAATAAACAACCGTAAATACCTGCAGGCCTCTCGGGGCGTCAAGTGTCACGACTTGACGAGCAACTCGTGAACTCAGCAAGCTTCCTTCATAAGGCACTCATGTTGAATAAAGTAAAGAAACGGAGTTGACCTCTTCCTATGCAGTTTCGAAATAATGTATGTAATTCATTGACAAACGCATGTGAGCACGACACGACGCGCGTGTTCTGAGGTGGACGTGTTTGTAGATGTGCAGCAAAAATTATCATAGCAGGGGAGACAATAAACTATGAATGTCGGCTTGTTAGTACATTTGACGATTGTACCTTCCGGATCAGTTTGAGTGCACTCCATGGTCGAACCTTGAACCACTGTGGCCTTCCTCACAGCCTGCATGACTGAGCAGTCTGAAAGGGTAATTGCGAGCGGATTTAAGCCCTGATTAATCGTTATGGACGACTGGTTCATAGCATCTTAATCAAGGGCTGAGCCAGAGGACTAGAATCGCTGGCATGCCACTGGACCGTACGTCTCAATCAGATCAACTTGGATAGTGCGATAGAGCGCGTGCATGTGCATGCACACATGCCCATCAAGTACCCCTGACTTCAATCTATCATATGCAAGATATACGAGTACGTGGACTGCAAGATCACCGCGTTGAAACACCTTCGATCTGGCCGTTTGATCATGACCCGTATCAATAGGGAGCCGCGAGCGCAAGCTAGATTGAAAGGCATGGGGCATTTTTACCATTTGTAATGCTCATGCATGCTAGCTCAAACGCATGATGCAATATTGACTGGTATTGTGTACAACGCACACATCTACCTGGATTGACCAACCAGGTTATCATTGTTGAGCGGATAAAAAATTTGTTCAAGAATTGCACCTCCGGTTGGCCCCACCGCCACTGTAACTCTTCGCCATCATTGGCAATGACCATGACCGTAAGAGCTTGATGCTTGTATTGGCTGTATGACCACGTTCCTCGAATTGATACCCAATGCAATTTTAACCGGTCAAAGATTGATCCACACTGACAACAGTGGCTCCTCATCAATGGGCGTAAGCACCTCCTACCTCCTTCATGATGTACCTCAACCCACAATATTTGCAGACGGAAGGTTCATGACTATCTAGCTTGATGTACTCAACAGGATGGCCGAGGGCAACGTCCTTGCCTGCAAATCATGTCGAGCGAGTCGTGGATTCTTGCAGAAGCACTTGCTCAAGTATCAGCAAAGTCTTTGGCACAAAGATGAGAGTCCATGGGGAGATATTGTCAGCAATCCAAGCCTATTATACGATGTGGAAACCTTTCATAGATTGGATGTCAGGGGTGAAGGACGCCTGATACAAAGATTGCGGAGTCCTTGCTTCCGTTCTCTCCTTTCTTGGAACAAGAGCGCCGTGTTTACAAAGTTCCCTCAATGAAGCAAGCAGTCAACCGATGAACGATAAAAGCCCAGATGGAAGTGCACAGATTGTACACAGTGCTGCAGCTTACCCCCCTGGCAGGCTGCCACCGCTCCAAGGATCTCGATAGGGGGGACTTCGCTGATCAGTTCTTGTGGAGACTTCTGGTCTTTCCTCTACAGAGATGCAAGGACAAATATGTCATTATAGGAGTGGCGATGGTGGAACGAGTTGGACAAAGCAGAGACTGCTCCCCAAGAACAGTGCAGACGGGAGCTGCAGCAATTGCAAGAAATGCCAGTGTACAGCTCTATGACTCCTACCTGCATCCACTTGGCGGTATGATTCGGCCCCTGTACGCCCCTTCGCTGCCCATCAACGCTTACAAAAGCACTGGTCGAGCAGATGGCCTGGAGATGCTGGGTGCTGGCGTCATACACTGCCTGCGCGTGTGACAGGAACACATCTCTTCATTTGAAACCTTAAGAAGCATGCATTGGTACACTCCTGTATGTCCCCCGTCATCAGAATGACACCGAGCCTCCAAACCCCTTGCATCAGAGCTCACCATTTGCGAGGTTTCTTTGTCACGAGTGACTTCAGTGACTATCCTCGACCACCTTCCAAAGGGTGTTTGTCTTCCAAAGGGTGTTTGTAAGATCTATGTACGTTTGATTGTGAGATAAAATGTGGAATCGATTGCAACCGATAGGTCCTTCGCTTTCGAGGACAATCTGGCTACTCTTTGGTCCAAGAGCAAGATAAAATTTCCAACCAAGGAGCGAATGGGGTGCTTTTCTTACCTGTGTCCCTGGAGCTGCACCACTGACGATCATATTGCGCGCATGCTGGCATTGCCTCAGCACTTGAAGGACACCTTTCAAAGCTGGGCGAGCCATGCTAGGCTGAGTATTTGTTGAAAAAGAAGGGGAAAAAAATAAGCCGATCGTTAGACAAGTACTAGCCCACTCAGACCCACACCTGCAAGTTGATTGCTTCCTGCTCTCAGCGGTGACGAAACTTTTGCATCAGAACTTTGTGATAGTATTTTTTACAAATGGTTACTGCCACCGTTTAAACAGGGTCCGAGTCGGACAATTGAGTAGGAAGAATGTCGAGTTCCTACGAGTCTTCTACGAGATTGGAATTGTTGTACCTTCGAGTTCTACTTCAGGTGCACCAACGACCAGAACTTTGCAAAGAAGGATCCTTCACTCCCTCTGAGCCTTCACCCTTGGCGAGCTGTTGGGGCTGGTGGTGGACCGCCTCTTCGCTCTGAGAAACTTCCGACTTCCAAGGCTGCCGAGAATCAGATCCTGCAAATTCAATGTCCCTGTCAGGAGCAGCTCCTTGCAGACCGCCTTAATTGAACTAGGCGAAGAGAAGCGCGCTTGCCACCATGTACCGGGCGTAGCCGGTAGTGCTAGTACCGTAATATTACGGTAATAGTATACTCCAAGCAAAGGAAACTTGCAAGCCGGCTTTTTATTACCTGACGTGCCGGTTTACTTGCACTCTGAATAAAATAGCTCGAGCTATTGTAGTACGGTATGTCACGGAAGGTAGGGCCGGCCAGCTCAGCAGATTCGCACCACGCATTCGCTCAACATGGCGGTGCCGTTTCTTCCGCAAACCAGGTGAAGAGGTGTACCTATTCTAATTCCTTATAGGTAGGTTCAACAACCACCAGGCCCGGTTGACCCGGTATGCACATTGCAAGTTCCAAATACCGGTAATCCACACTGCCTGACACTGCCTAGCCTAGGCCCTAGGGAGCCTGCCAACCAAAGCTCCAGCCAAGCCTCAAAACATGGCGGCAAGCAAGGGGTGAGGCGGCAATACCTAAACGGATTTGCAGATAGCAACCTTCTTTAGCGGTCAGTGTTGTTAGGTTGTAGGGCCGGCTGCTGTGGGCACCATGGCGCTCGCCAAGGATGGCCAACTGAACCTGGAAGCGGTCCCTTCCGAAGGGGTGCGCAGCAGCGATTGCTTCACAAAACTGGAACAAATTGGCGAAGGGACCTACGGGTGAGTTTCCTACAAAAGGACACGGGCAAAATTTTGTTAAACAGTCGCTGGTTCCAGATGCGAACAGCTGCAACTACAAACTTAGATAGGATTCAAGCCAGAGGTTGTTCCTTGATGCAATCATCAGAACTCCAGGGGCTGCCAAGCACCACTCTGCGTTGTCATGCGGAGTGGGGATGCCCTTGGACATGGGATTCAAAAGCAGCATGCTTCAGAGAAGTGTCGTCCATAAAAGCTTTGCATCATTGAGTGGTTCCTTAGCCCATGTTGTGACATAACCTGGGCTTTTTGCAGACAAGTGTACAAAGCCCGGGACAATGAGACCAGCGAGATAGTGGCGTTGAAAAAGGTGCGGATGGACAACGAGAAAGAAGGGGTAAGTAAGGCCACAGAGCACGTTTTGCTTCTCCCATATTGTCACCGGCACTATTACTCCTTAGCTCAGGTTTGATCTGAATGAGCGTGGCTGGTGTAGCTGTCTCCCATCCCCTTGCTGGTCTTTCTGCAGCTATGTCCGTGGTCTGGCATGTGACTGGTGCGGTATCCGCAATCTTACAAGGCCCTTTGAATCCTGCAGTTCCCAATCACAGCCATTCGAGAGATCAAGATTTTGAAGAAGCTGAACGACGATAACATCGTGAAGCTCAAAGAAATTGTCACTCAGAAAGGTAAGTCCACAGACTTGTTCTGGCCTCACTTTCTTTCATCGCTGTCGGTGACCTACGCTACCATCTTGGTCTGAGTGAGCAGTGTGCTTTGAAGCGGTTGCCATCTTACTCACTCCATGTTTGTTGTGGTCCAGACTCTGGCGCGCAGCAGAACAAGGCCAAGGGCAGCATCTACATGGTCTTTGAGTACATGGACCATGACCTCACTGGCCTCACTGACCGCAACGACGTCAAGTTTGCCCTGCCTCAGATCAAGGCAAGTGAGAGATGTCCCTGCACCCAGTGTGCTCGGTCTCAAGTCGTTCTGTGGCATCAGACCCGTACTCACGTATTTGTGGTGGCGTAAAAGCAACTGCACAATTCGTGGGAAGAGAGACAGGACTCGAAGGGGTTTCACTTTGTCATTGATGGTGGCATGGGCAACTGCTTGAGAAGGAAACATTTGTCGACTCACTTTTATTGTTGCCTGCTTCTTTTGCAGTGCTACCTCAAACAGCTATTAACAGGCCTTCATTTCTGCCACACTAACCAAGTCCTGCATCGTGATATTAAGGGTAAGAGTTCTTTGTTAGAATCTGTGATGTTGCCCTCTTCGTCGAGTATCTGATTGTGCTGACTATCTGCACAGATCCTGTGTAGTTCTATGCTACTTGCTGTCATTTCCGGAGCTTGGCGAAAAGGAAGTTCCGGCCATTTCTGATTTGTGCTTAATGCTACTGAAGTTTCGATCGCCAGGATCGAATCTGCTGATTAACAACGAGGGCATCTTGAAGTTAGCCGACTTCGGGCTGGCCCGCAACTTCAGCAGCGACAAGGACAACCCCGCCCCCCTCACCAACCGCGTCATCACCCTCTGGTACAGGTGGGCCGCTCACCCAATCCTTGTTGCGGCCTCCATCTGAAGTTAGGGCTCAATCACAGCTGCCCTCCTTGCCGGCCGTTTACTCCGACCTGCTTCAGACTCTCTGAGCTCGTGTCTCCACTGTCAAGCATTAGCTCCCGTTGTAGTTTTCCATAGTGAAGGGGCCTTTAATCAAGCTTAAACCTTTTATTGCTAGGATTCAAAGCAACCGCCCTTGTGGGGGATCTGACCGGGTATTGTGTCGCCATTTCAGCGCTGTGTGTCTGCGCGTGTGCAGGCCCCCTGAGTTGCTATTGGGCGCCACCAAATACGGGCCAGCCATCGACATGTGGTCCGTTGGTTGCATCTTTGCGGAGCTGCTGTATGGGAAGCCCATCCTGCCAGGCAAGAACGAGGTAAGAAAAAACTTACCGCCCAATTGGCAGCACAGGGCCAACGCCAGGCTGCCTGATGGCCACTTGTTACTCTGGAAACAAGTAAGCAGGATCATCAATTCCGGAATCCTCTTGCTAATCGAAGGCTGCCGCCATTGTGCGGTAAGTCTTGTCCTCGAGGGCTTTGGACGGGCTGCACGGGTAGTGGTGACCCGTCGCGTGTGGTTGCGGCGTGCAGGTGGACCAGTTCCAGCGCATCATGGAGCTGTGCGGGTCCCCCACGGAGGAGAACTGGCCCGGCTACCTGGAGCTGCCCTGGGCCAAGCAGTGGACCGACGCTGTGCCGCGCCGCCCCAGGAAGCTGCGACACACCTTCCGAAAGTAAGTCCCGCTGTGCCGCTGCTTCGCATCCATGGACTGCTTCTCAAAGGCGTCCATCTAGGTGATGGGGTACGCTGGCAAGGGGCGGAAGTGCGCGGACTCGTTATCCACTAGTAAAAGGTTTCCGTGCCATTCGTCGGAGGGTTTCAAGTAAGGCTTTGTTTTGTTCACCTTTGGCGCCTCTTTTGCTGGTATCCTGCTGCTCCTACAGGTGTCTGGACGTGACGGCTCCTCCTTTGCCCAGGCGGTCCCCCTTGGGTCCTGACCTTGTTTTCGCTGTCGTTGCCCGCAGCTTCAGTCCGGACGCCCTAGAGCTGGTGGAGCGCCTCTTAACCCTGGACCCCGAAAAGGTGCGCCCCGGTTGCCCCCGCCTTTTGCTGCACTGCGTTTGTCCGCTTCGGGCCCCTCTCCCCGGTGCGTGCTCCCCTGCCCCCTGTGCTGTTGCCTGTCGCTGACCCCTGCCACTCTCGCCGTGCTTGCAGCGTGGCACCGCCGCAGAAGCCCTGGACGCCGAATTCTTCTGGACCCCACCCCTGCCATGCGATCCGAAAGAGTGAGCCACCGCAGCACCTGCGCACTGAATCTTGCTCATTGCAAATGTCGCCCACTTGACGTCTTTTCGAAAGCCGTGTGTTGCTGTTGGTAGTCGGACAGCTTCAGCTGCTTTTCTTGACAAGATTCAGCAGGGAGGTCGGAGTGCAGCCGTGCCCGTGTGTCTCCCCCCCGAGCTTTGTGCTTCCCGTGCAGGCTGCCGCAGTACGAGGCCTCCCACGAGTACCAGACCAAGAAGCGGCGGCAGCAGGCGCGCCAGCAGCAGGACGATGCGCGCCACCGCCCCGCGCCCGCCGCGCAGCAGGGCCAGCATCCGCCCCACGCGCACCCCCCCGCCAGGGGCAGCCGGCCCCCAAGCAGCAGCACCCCGCGCAGCAGCACCCCCCCCCTTCGTACCACCCGCCGCAGTATGGGCACCGGCCCATGGCGCCTCCCCCTGTGTATGCTGCCCCCGTCCCAGCCGCTTATGCCGCCCCGGGCCAGTACTACACGGCTCCGCCCCAGCAATATGCCCAGCCGGCATATGCAGGGGCCGTAGTGTATGGCCGGGGCGCTCCTGCATACGGCCCTCCCGGCGCTGTCCAGCAGATGCCCGGGGGCTACCCCCCTCAAGGATACCCCGCAGTTCAGGTAAGTGGTCCTCGACCAGGTTATTCCAACTGATGGTTCCGAGCATGCGATCGTGCTACAAGGATTAGATTATAGGGTCGAGTATTCTGTGTCCCCTTTGACGGTGCAGACTGAGATTTATCAAGAGTCCGATCAATGTAGTGTCTAGCATGTGCTTCTGCACTTCGAAGGTCGTTTCGTGTCGCTGCTCATCTGTTCCCTAAGCAGCACGTGTGTTCTGGTTGCAGCCGGTGGCTCCATTCATGGATATCGACGGAAGTCATGCGAACATGGCACAAGGATCATATTCGCACACAGGTAGCTATCGACCTCCCATGCAGCAGGATAATAGGAATTATCGACAACAACGATGATCATCAAAGCTGTTCGATTTTTTGTAAAAGTGGTCAAATTGTACAGCATACCATCTGGGATGTTGCCTTGTAATTGAGTTTATCAGCGCTTCGAAATTATCTGCCCGCCACATTGGTCTCGCGCCCCGCCCATGCACTTGCCTGACAGTGTCAATATGAAGCTTGATCTGAGGCAATGATATAAATGTTGTCACTGATAGAGCGCTCAGGGCTAATTGATGTGCACGCGCGTGCACATTCAAGTCTTCACAAAAAATGGAACATCAGTCATGACCGTACTGATGAGGTTCTTTTTGAACGTGCCGATACCAAAATGCCGAGACGCGCAGCATGCAAGCCATTGCCATGCATCGACATTGGCACCTGAGCTCTCATTAAGCAACGAGGAGCGATAATGCCTCTTCAAGATCACTTCATGCACGAATCGAAGATTCTGAACCGCGAGGGCCGTTGCATATACTTATGCCCAACGATGTGTAGCCTCAGTCTCGAATTGTCGAGTTGTTTGCTCATTCTCCAGTCCGGAGTCCGGGACACGAAAGTCGGTCGTTTGCTTAATCTCTGCCACAGCGTTGTAGTCAAAGTGTCAGCCCTCGGTTCCCTTATATGCGAAATTGACTGCATAAGCCCCTTTTCCGGAAGCCAGTACTTTGAGGGTAATCTTATTGTCTAGCTTGCTCGCTGCAACGCAAGGTCGGCAAAAGTAGAAATCAGCATGGATCTGCATATTATTTTAGACGAGAAGAGACAGTTTTAAGAATTGCTTCCCGCGCTGAGACTTCCGACCCTTCATATTAGGAGTCGAGAAGTTTGGGCAAAGTGCAGGCGGAAAGTTCAACATAAAACGATGAATTTGTGCAAATGCCTTTGCAAAAGCAGACCTGTTCCGCATTCGGAGAAAGCCCAAGAACAGAGGCAGGCGCTCACGGTCATGGCTGAGTTGGCGGGTCCAGCCGATACCCGCCTGGGCAGCACGACCCAGTGCTATGGCGACGACAGGGGAGATCGAGTCGCGCAGATTCACAGTATGTACAGTCTGCAGAGAGGCCGAGAAACAGGGAATTAGGGGACTCCCACGTACTATAACGAGCGCGGTCTAGCTTTGCTGCCGCTTGAGGAGTCCCTCGCTTGATTGCCACCAATCAGAAAGGTTCACGTCCAGATGCTTTGAAGCATGCTGCGTTCACAGTTGATCTGACTGACAGGGGCTTTCAGCTCAGAGGTTTCGAATTCAGCAGTTCGTCGCAAAGACCGCTCGCCTTCAGACAGTTACGGCTTTTACCTGCAGTATGAGCTTTTTCCCTTGGAAGTCGTCCGCACTGGCTCTGGCAAACAGCGTCAGCTTCTTGCTTAACCTGGACACAGAGAGGCAGCCAGCGGGGCAGCCAATGTCAAGGAGCCGTTGGCTCAAGATTCTACTTTACGCTTTTGCTGAAAGGCCTTTACGAGCAGTACAAGCATCGTTATGGGGTATTGGCCACTCGATCCACGCTAGCTGGAAAGGCATGCCATGCTTTGGCGACCCCGGAGGCGCAGGCTCACCGGTGCTGACTTGCAATTCCCCAGGATAAGTACGACAGATTGTCGGATGCCAAAATGGTAGAGCAGGAGTGGGTGTCCGATGCATTGCTGCACAGGCACACGAAGCTGAGTCAAGCAGATTTGATAACACAAGGGAGCCTCCCTTCAACTTATTCCCTACTCAGCAAGTGCACAACCTGCAAGCAGAGCTTGAGTCAAGCGTGAAGCATGTTTCCAACTTCATGCAGCGCACCCGGTGGCGCAATGATCTTCAGACCCCGAACTTTCAACGTGAGATCACTGTAGCCCAACGTTGAAGGCAGCGCCTTCCAGCACAGGTCTGTTTCGCTAGAAGAACCACATTCAGAAAACTTCCTGGCATCTTCGCAGCGGCCTCGACGTTCACTTTATTGCACAATCATGCCAGACTAGAAAGGGGAAAAAGCATACTCATGCACTTGCAGTTGCGTTGTTGACGGGGCAGCCTCCACTGAAGCCACCTCCAAACAATTTTGAAGGGAGTAGCCATCTCCTGTGGTTCACCTGACAGTTCCTTCCAGTGCCAGTCTACTGCGACTCCTCAGGTCTGTGGCCCCAGTGACGGCTAGCTGCCGCCGTGTAGTGGCGCTCCCACTGGTGCCGTTGTGCAGCAGCTTCAGGCTCAGCTGCTCCACTCGGAGCGGCGTTCCACTGAGACTTGTGTCCAGGCGAGTCTTTCTGGTCAGCTGCAAGAGGGTCAGAACGGGGCCGCTTCTCAGTAAGACACACAGAGTAAGGACAGAAAAGCTGGCCTTTTCAAAGTTCCCAGCTTTGGGATGGACAGAGAGTTTGTGGCTGTCACCGATGGGTGGTGGTGAAAGTAAGGAAGCCTACATCTTGCCCGGCCAGTCAAATAACACAGCCTCAAAGCTTGCAACTAGCCATGGGCGGCTTCACTTTCTGCATTGGGGAGGACAACATCGGGCGCCACTCACCTCATGTGTACCAGACAGGTCCACATGTTTCCAGCGCTCCCCCAGGCGCACCACCTCCCTGGCCTGCCTGTTGAACAGGCGGCGGGCCAGCCCCTGTGCGTCTACCTGCTGCACCTCCTGCCACCGCACTCTATCGTACTGCGCCCGCACTTCCTTGGCTGTGTTTGAAAGCAGACTAAGCTGACTGTTTAGCAAAGCATTCGCCTTTGTAAAACCTGTAAGCACCTGGTTTGCAGACTCTGGCAAGAGGGGCCGCAAGGCCTCGTCCAGGCTAGCAGGAGGCGGCGAAGCGGCACCCCCATCCAGCCGGGGTGGCGCAGGGTGCGTCTCTTCAGGCAGCCACGCTTGGCAATGCACTCTTTTCCCCGCATTCCCTTCTTCGACTGAAAATCCAGCCTTCCCACTCCTTGGATTTGCCCCGTCCCCTGTCAGCTGCCCCTCCAAGCGGCTGGATTGGACAGCCATCGAAGGGAAGGTGCCAGAGGCACCATGCGCCTCCTGCTTAATCCTGGTTCCAGCGCCTTCAGGCAGCACCTTGTTGAGAGAATGGCTGCCATCTCGCTTCACACTTTGTTGTGCCATGCTGCTTTCAAACCCGGCAGCGCACCGTGCTCCGCTTACCAGGTGCCTTCAGATGCCACAGCTCAAGCTCAAACTACACAGACACCACAAACTTATAAACCACTTAATACCCTGCAACGAACAATGGAAAGGCCACGTCTGCTGGGTCCTCAAAGCTTTTTGAGCGACCATGCGCTAAGATTGTCAGACATCTGATTTCTCAGGCTCTGCACGAGATACCCATAGTAATACAGGCTTGTCCCCAGCAGGAGTTTGACGCGGCCGCGTGACCCTCAAGCCGCGGCCGCCGGCGCGGCCGGGCGCGGTCGCCGCGGCCCCGCTGGAGCACAGTGCCGACGGTGCTCTATCAACAGCCGCATCAATTATCATCCAATGACGTACTTCTCGATGCCGTCCAACATGTCCACAAGTGCTCCAATAGTACTTGCGAAGTATACGAACCTAGGAAACTGTGAACTTAGAAGCAGAATTGACCACTATTATCAGATGGTTTGTAAACCAAGAAGAAGGGGATACGAAGCCTGTGCAAATGATGGCCGATCGCCAGCTGGCCTAAGCCGTGCTGGCTGACCGTCTCAGCAGCACACTTCGAACGCGTACAAAGGACACCGCTGATGCTTGAAGTGGACCGGATCGTGATATGCTACTATTGTAGGACGCCGACTATTAGCTGGACATCTATGAGTGAAGTGCGAGGTCATATCCTCCGGCAAAACCGTTTGCTTCGAAGCGTCTATTTGATTTGTTTGATACCTTCTGTCTCAGATGCTTGATTCGTCATGTGTGGAAAGCGGCAGATGCCCGCTAGGCTGTTTTACTTTCTATGCAGAAGCTTCTCAATCGTGCAGTTCGAGCAGACACGAAGCACGAGCTTTATCCCGTGAGCTGTGCCCTGCATTTGGGGCACACGTCGTGGCTGATGCAGACTGAATGGCCCTCCTGTAAACGACCGGCAAGGGAAGCTGGCTGCGCAACTGCAACTCCCAACGCAGGCTTCTCCTGCCAAGCACAGGAAAGCAGAGTTCACCCCTCAGCAGGCCCGTGCTTGACGCACCTTCGAGGCGGACAGCATTTCCTTCCTTTGCCTGACTCATAACCTCAGATCTTGGCGCTTCTCTGCTCCTGATCTGACTTGCGGGGCAGAACTTGGCGCAGCATTCCCAGCGCCGGCATCTGCCATGGCTTTGCGGGGGGCCCTCTTCCGGTGTCTCCTTCTGGCTGCGTGCCTGGCCGGCACTTTGCCCCGCCCTGCCTGCAGCGGCCCCGCCGGCCCCACCTTCTCCCCCGCCGGCTGCCTGGACCCCCCCACCGGCGTCGCCACCTTCCGCCCCATGGTGGAGGAGCTGGAAGCCCGAAAGGGCCCCCCCCACTTTACTGGGCTGCCGCGGGGGGTGCGGCAGCGCACGTATGCGGGGACGGACCTGTGGAACAGCCGGGGCATGAACCTGACGCAGGCGGTGCGCGCCATGCTGGGGGATCCCTTTGCGTACTACGAGACGGCGCTCTTCACCGTCTACAAGATGGCCCTCCTCAACCAGACGGCCACGCTGCCCTACCTCGTCTACGCCTGGTGGGGGCAGCTCTCCACACCCACTGAATGTCTTAAGGGTATAGAGATCTGCACATCATCATTTTCTCCCTGATATCTTTTTTCCAGTCTTCCAGAGATGGCTCAGATCAGCTGAGCGCCGTTGCGCTGCCTTTCCTTGTGACCATTACGCCGATCTGACCCCCTCTCGCCGCGTCCAGGGATCGTGGGCACTGGCCCACCACGGAGGACGGGCCCTGGCCCCAATATAAGGTGAGCCACCAGCTCTACCACAGAAGCATTACGGATCTTCGCTCACTATGGTCACTTCCCTTTCTTAGATGCCCCTCCGGCTTAGACACTTCGCAAACGCGCTGTGGCCAGGAGCAAGCGCTGCAACATATGCGCCACAAAGGTGTTGCCCGAATGAAAATGTGAGCAGAGTACTCGCAATCTTGGAATCGAATCAGACAATGAGATATACTGTTTGCAGGTAATGAGGTCAGGGGTGCGAACAATGCGCCGGTGTTATAAGGCGAGATCTTGGAGTCCATGCTCACGACCCTCTCTCCTTGCTGCTTTGCCATGAACGAGAGGCTGCCCCAAACGCTCCGCAAGAGAAGGCCCGCTTCACGAAGCCCTCGCTCTAGGTCCCCGTCGGAAGAAAGCGCGGACTGAAAGGGTTCCTGCTCGCGGTGCAGTACTTCAAGGAGCTGGTGCGCGACATTGTTCCCGCGATTGCGGACTCGGGGCTGGCGGAGGTTGGCGCGGGGTTGAGCGAGGCGGCCGCGGTGTGTCGCGCGCGGCTGCTGCTGGACCACCGCTTCGCGCGGCTGGGCCGCGAGGCACTGGACCAGACGTACCTGCTCGGGGTGGGCAACGACCTGGGGGAGGACCCCTACGACTGCCTGGTCAGCCCCGCGCGCCGCAACGGCGGTCTCGTGCACCAAAGATGGTCTGTTCAGGGGGGCGCCAGAACTTGACCAAAGACATTGAACAGGTCGCTGGTATAATGCTTGAAGGGCCAATGCAAGCAGTCATCAGCGTTATGCTCAGCCTTCCTTCTATTCAAATCTGGAGCACTCACGATCCTTTGAATGCTTACCGTATCTGCATTGCCGCAGCTCTGAGTGACGGGCGGTGCTCCTATCATGTGTGCCACACTGACGCCGTCTCTGGTCGCTGTTGTGCAGTACTCGTCGTCCTCCCAGGGCCTCACCAACGAGGTATACGGGCCGGATGTCGTTGTTCTGGCGCCCGACCACCGGTCAGCCCTCCCCCTCCACTGTTTGCACTCCCAACTGACTCTACGGAAACGGCTCTTCGTTACTCTGGCTGTTTCTTCTTGAGATGCTGGGAGAAGTAAACAAAGGAAGGAAGACAATCTTATTGAAAGGCATACCGAACGGCCGGGCGTTCGGAAAAAGATCGCGCCGGAGAAAAGCCGGCGGCCCAGCTGTGCTCGCGCCTCTGAGTGGCTGCCGTGCTGCCGTGGTGCGGTGCAGGAAGCGCGGGCTGGACCTCAACTTCTACCAGGACCGCTTCTGCCCCCACTCCCACGACTACAGCGAGATCCTCACACCCGGGTACCGGGTACGACGCGGAGCCGCCAGGCTACCTTGAATCGCTCCCTTTCGACCTCTGCGACTTTCGAAATCCTTGTCTTGGTTCCGTCCTGTCCAGCTTCTTATGCAAAACTGATGAGGGCTGCTAGAAGGATGGGTGCTCTTGTTCCAAACAACTAGACTTCGCGACATTAGGACACTGCAGTCTTCGGAGGCAATGCGTTGCCTTGTAGGTGACGTTCTGAAACTGCGGTCCCACATCGACTTTTGGGCAACAATTTTATCTTTGACTGTTTCAGATCGAAACGGTTCGTTGCGACGATAATAATCCTTTCATGTAAACGAAGTCCTCCGTTTGATTTTCCCTGATCCGCGTTTCTAAGGATCTGGCAACGTGCGTCAGTTACAGCTACTTCGAAGAAACCTGCTACTTTTTGTGGAGAAACAGTGCAGGTCAGTCAGTCTGCTACCGCAGAAAAGTCCTACTAGTCAACGCTGACATGGGCACTTTGCTCGGAAGAATCTGTAGCTCTGAAATCTTGCAATCGATCCCAAACAAGGCGTTCGAGTCGGAGCCTTCCTTGAAATCCTTAAACGCAAAAGTATTTCTCTTGCCGCTTGCCCGTTGCTTGCTCTGCACCCCGCCGCCTACCTTGCCCCGCAGTTCCCGGACGCGATCGAGGGCTACTTGGTGTTGACGTGGAACATCCGGTCGGAGGACGAGGACCAGTTCAAGGGCGTCGAGTGGGCCTTCGTCAAGGCGCACCACGACGGGGAGGACTTCGTGCTCCTCCTCGGCACGCAGGTCAGCCGCCGGTGCCCCGCAGTCTGCCCGCCGCTGACGTGGAAGGTTATATAACGTAGACGCTGAGTCCAGATTCGTAAATGCGCTCACCGCCAAGACGGGTGTGGGTGCGATCCTGTCAATTCTGACTCGCAACGGCACAGCGTGTGAAGGTTTCAGTGCCGACTAATTGGCGGAGAAGTATCGTTTGAGCGAGTTTCATTTCGAGTTCCAATCTGGTTTCCAGGATTCTTGATCTTTATTGTTCAAAGAACGCCAGCCTTGTCGTTGTTCGAAAATCCGATCATGTAGGTGGTTTCCTTTCAATCCAGGGATTGCAAGGAAGAGAAATCTTCCCGTCTTTTGAGCGAATGACAGACCCGTGTACCCATTCTGAATGACGAGACTGAACGTCCTACAGTCCTCTTCTTTGTATGCTCTCTCGGCTTCTGGATGGCAGCCTCTTCCGCTTTCCCTTTAAGCTGACCCTCACCTGTCCTTTTTACCGGCGTATCTGCCGATGCAGGAGTTGGACCACCCGGTGTTTTGCGTGGACCAGCACCCGGCGGGCCACTTCGTGGAGTGCATCCCGGACTCCCTCCAGAACTACACGCAGCGCTGCCGCAAGGACCCGCAGCTGCCGTCCCACCGCCTCACCAACGTCACCATTCCCGTCATCGGGGTGCTCTACCAGGCACTCCCCGACGACGAGCCCGCAATCCCCGGAGGATTCGTGGCCGGGCAGAACGCCGAGCGGCGCGCGCGCGCGCAGGCGGTGCTGGCGCGGCAGCGCGGCGACGGCGTGATGTGCAACGGGACGCTCAAGAAGCCGCTGCGCGCCGACGTGCGCGCGCTGGTGGACGGCGCGCTGGCCACCGATGGATCCACCTTCCAGGTCGCCCTCTGGACGGTGGACATGGTGCAGTACCCGGCCACGCCGAGCAAGCTAGCGGCCGCGGCGGGCGAGCGAGCGGCCGCGGCTGCGGGGGAAGTGCGGAAGCCGTCGCGCGAGCCGCCGCTGTGGATCATCGCGCTGCTGTGCCTGGGGAGCGTCGGGGGGGACCTGCTCGGACAGCGGGCCACGCGGCACCACTTCAAGTCGACCCGCCGGTGAGCCCGACCGGTGCGGCGTCTAGGATTGCACATAAACGTGACCGTGATTCTATACCTCCTTCTTCCTTTCGGTCCTCTTCTCCCTGCGCTCATTGTGCCCTTTGGTTCTCGGTCCCTTCTCGGTACTCATACTTCCAACCTCTTGGCACCTTTGGCAAGCCTTGAAAAAACGGTACCTTGCTTTTCAGATATCTGTGGAAGCTTTTTGTCAGAGATACGAATTGTCCCGCGACTCGATTATGATCGAAAGCACTTCTCATGATTCTGACATAGCTTGGTTGAAAATTTGAGCGTCCGATATCTGTCTGCACGGCCTAGATTGCACCGACTCATCAAAGCAGCATGACAGACTCCTGGCCAACTCCCGCAACGCTCCTGACTGTGCCGTCCCGCCCTGCCCGCAGCATGATCCTGGTGAGCATGCTGGTGTCCGCGCTACTAGTCCTGGTCCTGGGCGGTATTGGCGAGCTGCTGTTCCCGCGCCAGACGGGCGCCATCGTGGTGCGCGGCCGCCCGGTGCAGTGCTACCGGGAGGTGCTGGCCGGCGTGCCGGGCAAGGACGAGGCCTTCTGCATCGCCCGCCCCGAGCAGTGCTCCCCGGTGGCCTGCCCCGCGCAGGGGCCGTCCACCATCGGGTGGGCCATCGGCGCGCACCCGCTGCTGCTGCTGCTGGGACTGCTCGCCATCCTCTACCGTGAGGCTCAATCAAGCGCTCTAGAACAGACAATCAACGTAAACTCGCTCTTCATAAGCACGCCCGTTGGGTATAGAGAAGGATTTTACTTTCTGTGCACTTTCATTAGAACACTTTCTGGCACTTCATTAGAACACTTCCTGCCATGACTTTGGGGAGTCGTTGCTTCTGCTTTTCCTTGGCCCTTGGCCTTCTGCGCCCTTCATTTCTTCTTACTTACAAGCAGCCGTTTACAAGAGACTCAAAAAGCTCTCAGAAGTCTTCTCACACGCCGCGCTGATGCGCCTTCTTCTTTCAATTCGCGCCGCAGACGTGTGCGAGGTGGTGCTGCACCTGCACCCGCTGGGCATCTTGTTCAAGCCGCTCGCGTCCTTCTTCGCCACGTTCCTCATCGTGCCGCTCGCGCGCGTCTTCGGCTACTTGGAGGCGCCCATCCCCGCCTACGTCATGCTCGTCGGCGCGGCCGGCACGTACCTGTGCCTCTACGAAAAGAAGCGCGCGCCCGCGCCGCACCAGCACGTCGAGCTGGCCACCGTGGACGACGACGACGCGCTAGAGGACGACGCGCGCGCGGGGAGGGCTGCGCGGCCGCTCGGCGCGGCCGCGGTGGTGGGTACGGCGACGGTGGAGGACGACTTCCCGGTGTCGGAGCACTTCCACGAGAACGCGGGGCAGGGGTGGGGGCTGGGGGGGGGGAAAGAAAAGGCGGGGTACGTGGCCGTGGAGGCGGAGGAGGTGGAGAAGCACGTGCTGCGCGCGCACGGCGACGACGAGGCGGCGGGCCTGCTGGGGGCGGCCGGCAAGGGCGACGGCGCGGGGCGCAGCCTGGTGGGGTTCCTGCTGCTGGGGGGCATCTTCGGGGTGCTGGTGACGAGCATGGCGGTGTGGGTGATCGTGCAGAAGCTGGTCAACGACCGCTGCCGCGTCAACGAGTTCGGCTTCACCGCGCTCGACCAGGTGGGGCGAAGGCCGTTCGGGCCGTCATTAGCTCTTCCAGAATGCTATGCCGTCACTTGCATGGTCATCGAGTTTCAGGAATGCTATCCTGAAGATAGCAGTGGTTGTGGAAGGCGTCAATATGACGCTTGGCTTGGCTAACGTCTACATCGGAAAGACATTGAGGTCTGACGGTCGGATGTTGCTGAGAGTTCGTTTGCAGCCGCTTACTTGCATTGTAAGAAACATAGGAAGCAAAGACCTCTGCTGTGAGCTGAGTCGTCTTCAAACCGCATTTTTGGATCAATAAGCTCGCCTGAAGCCTGTTCAGTATTGACTTGGAACATGGTGGAGCTGCCTGCAACTTCGACACCCCATAACGGCTCTCCTTCTCTTGTGATTCCTTTCGTCTTTGCCACTCCCGCTGGCTGTTGGCTTTTCCTTCATCGGGGACTTTGAGTCGGTTCTTTTCAACTTTTCTCCTGCTTCATAACTTCTCTCGTGAATGAGTCGAGAAAATCATGGGCCGGGTCGGGGGCTTTCCTGTCATTCTTCGTCCTTCCCCTGCTGACGGCGGGTCCTGCTCCCACGCCAGGTGTTGCTCCCGCTGTACATGGGCGCGTTCCTGTGGGTGTGCGACTGGCTGCCCGCCGGGTACCGCCAGGTGTTCCTCCCCGACATGCACGACCAGGAGCAGACGCTCGCGCAAGCCGCGCGCCAGGCGGTGGCGCAGTGCTGCGCGGCGCGCGGGGAGGCGCTCGCGTTGGTGGTCGTGCAGCGCGCGCTGGCGAACGCGCGCATCGCGGTGTTCTTCTGGCTGTCCATCAAGTACAACCTGACGTCCGTCTTCTTCGAGTCCACCGTGCTGCGCGTCAGCATGAGCTGGCTCGTCGTGCTGGGTGTGAACACGCTCGCGCCGTCGTTCATCAACCTGGCGGATACGGAGCGCTTCACCTTCCGCGACGCCGACACGCGGCGCGTCATCCTGATCAAGGGCCTCGGCACCGTCGTCGTCTTCTTCACGCTCGTCCTGCTCGAGGCGCGGCGGTAGACGAGCGCGGCAGCGCCAGCGGTGTGGGCGATTCTGCGTACTGACACCAGGCGTGTTGAAGCGGCTCTCTTTTAGAAAAGGAGCTTGAGTAAATCTACGTGGGGAAAACTTCAGGTGTACGTTCTATTATCTTAGTGCTGATTGTGTGAACGATTTGCGTTTCGCCGCACGTTGGACGATTCTTTTGCAACGCAAGACATTGTTTGGCACGTCATTATCGAGGAGCTGGTTTCATGGGGTAGAGCGATTCACTGTTTGGGCTAAACCTTCAGGCATGATTCCGTGTCAAGAAGTGCAAACATATGTCAGCAGATGTCCAGGAAAACGGTCACGGTTACTTGTTCCCTCTCATTTCTGACAAGGAAATGGAGCCTTCATGCACATGGATCTGCTGAGCGAGCTGTGTTGCTCAGAGCAGAATCTGGCATTGCGTGACTCAATTTGTCGCGAGAGGGGTCTGCGCGTGTGCAAAGTATACGCGGGGAGACAAGGATAAGTAAAACATTACAGCTTCGCGTTTGTGCACGCGGCGAAGTTGATCTGACAAGCTACTGTAGTTGGTCTCGATCTGCAATTCGATCTCGATTGCAGCACGGCGACAATTGCAGATCGCGACCGGCCGCCAACAGCAGCTCCAGGTGCAGCAGTTGTCAGGCCGTCAATTACTTGCACGTCTCGAACTCTGGTATATATACACTCTCATGCAGTGTGAACGTGAAACCATCCGATATAAGAGTGTTCAAGGCTGCAATAGAGTATAATTGCACGGTTTGAATTCTGATACAGGTCAACATAGACTGGAAAGAAGTCAATCGCGTACGTCAATGACTGCAACAAGGCACACCATGCAACCGTCAATCATTTACCATCGTAAAAGAGGATTTATCTTTGTCAAGATCTAATGCGGTCTAGTCCTGACATACAGCTTAGCCGCAGCGATTCCCTCTGAGCCTTGGAATCCTGAGAGTTGAGTTTCCATCTTTCAAGTATTCTATGAGCTTTCCAAACTCTAGGCTCATCCTTTTCCTTGCCATCTTACTACTCTCATGCCGCTTCGAGCGGATATCGTCGACGGCTTCTTTAGAACGCTTTCGAAATTTTCTATAGGATTCAGCTTCTGAAATGTATCTTTCACTATGCCAGATATCGCAAATGGTCTTGTAGGTCAAATAGAACATTTCAAAAGACCGCTCAACCGCGCCCCAATCCTCGATATTGGTCCCCTTCTTGATTCGCCCCGTTATATCGCCCGTTCGCCGCCGAGTGTCAAGCCGAGATTATCATGGCCGATACTCGCTTGCATCTTCGAACTTCCCCCAGCCTGCCAGATCCTCCAGCTCTTCCAAGCACACCTTCCGCACCTGCAATGCAACAACAAGGTCTCTCGCATTCAAGTGTCTCCGCTGCTCCAGGCTGCCCGCAAAGGGATCCACAGCAAACCAGAGGGCACTCCTTTAAACCAGGAATCCTCGCAGCAGCCCGCCATACGCGCCAATGCACGGGCTTAAAGCTGGCGTTGCAGCACACCCGACGGGTCTTTCTTCTTCATCGCGCAAGTGAAGCATGTCTGGCACTTCTGTCAGCTTCGTGACAGGGGCTTGGAATATAGGCAGTCGACACCGTTGTATTGCAAAAGCAGAGCCACCAACGCACGGCAGAAGCTCCAGAATTGGTTTCTCGAACAAGCCCAAGCTCACAGGAAAGTCATTGAAACGACCGACAATTTAGACCATGAGCCATACAAGCCGGTAGGCTCGTGGTTCTGTTGGGACGGAGTCACGCGGCCTGTGCGGGCCTCCCCTCACATGGCGCATCTGCATGAGCAGCCCCGCGTCGCCCCCTGCCGTATACCCGCTCAGCGCGCTCCCCGTCAGCTTGGTTAGCGTCTCCAGCAGCTGCCCCGGCCGCACCGGCAGCGTGGTCGTCACTTGCCCGTCGCGCGTCTCCCCCGACTCCCCCGCAATGCGCATGCGCAGCGCGTGGTCCTCCTCCGCCAGCTCCTCGTCGTCCAGCCCCCGCGTGCGCACCTCGTCGATGTCGTACTCGGCCGCGGCGCGCTCCGCCTGCGGGACAAACTTGGTCACCTTGTCCGCGCCCTCGTCCTGCCCCGCCAGCACCTTGGCGATGCGCGCCGACATCTGCTCCCCGGGCCGCATCGCCGCCAACGCACTCAGAAACTCTACCTGGGGGAGGCGAAGCCAGAGCTTGTGAGCTATGTGTGAGGCATTAGCGAAACCTGTCGAATAGAAGCCACTGCACGGAAGATCTTCGTACACTTGACTAAATACTTCGGCAGAACTCAATGATCTCCGGACATCGAAAGGTTGGTCCTTCCCTGCATCGTTGTCCCTGTGGCATAGTTCTATCACCACGGGGCAAAGACGCTTGAATCGAGAGGGAACACGCAGTCCAAATCGAAAACTCAACACTCGTATTTTCAGCTTCGAGCTCCGTCAGAACGGCGGCTTCTCATAAACACGGCTGCGCGGGCCTGCACCTCTTTCTGCGGCAGATTCCCGAGCACGCGCGTGTTGGCGCGCGGGTCGTGGATCCCCCCTGCCATCATGGCGCGCAGCTCCTCCCGGATAAGCACCAGCCGCGCCAGCAGCCGCCGATCCGCCACCTGCGCGCGCTCCTCCATGTCCTGCGCGCAAACGCTCACAGCATACGGTTATGGACAGCCCGATCACAAACGAGGATCATGGGAGACCATAGAACTTCATCAGCGCAGGCTTTGAACGCTTCAGGTGTTCCGAGGGGAGGAGTCCACGTGATTGCTCTCAAACCGCCTTCCCTATCGTGGTGACAGCCTCCCGGGCTCGGACTGTTTCTCGATGTGAGATGGCTGAATAGGTATGCCATGACCGCGTCCGATTAAATGCACTGTGAACTTACAGGTTATCGACCCAACGTCTTGCCAGTCTAAAAGACACAGCAGTCAAACGAACAGGGCTTCGAACCTCTATGGCTCAATCTACCAGCGAATGGCGGCACACACAACGTCTTCAGCCAGCAGCGCCATTAACTCACGTAGACCATGTCGTCCGTTTGCCGCAGCACGTTTTCAATCCTTGCTGCGGGCACCAGCAGCTTGTCCTCCCGTGTCTCGTACTCCCCCCCGGTGTATTGGCCCCCTCCAGCCGCGGCCAGGCAGATGAGGTCCTTGCGCACCTCCTTGAGGGGCACCCTCGTCAGCAGCTCCAACACCTGCACCTGCACACCACAAGGACACAGAGAAGGGGGAGAGTGTGAGCAGCACTACAATGGCTTGCCACGAACGGCTTGTGGAGTCCGTCTCTCAGATACTCACGAATAGCCGAAGTAAATTCCAAGACAATAACGACTATCTCTTTCTGGTGGTTTGAGAAAACCATGGCACAGCTTCAGCAGGCTAACAGCTGCAAACGAGAATCGGCTCTTCTAAGGAATTTGTCTTTGTTCTGTCCAGCCGCACTGCCTTTAAAGGCATCGGTCACCTAAGCATCATTTGAATGATCCGCTCACATTGGGCGGGAAGCTCTTGGCCAGCGCTGCCAGGACCTCCTGCTTCACAATCAGGAGAATGGCCACCGACTGCACAACCACCGACAAAACGGTGTGAGTGGGACAGAGAGGCCACAGATGACCATCCAACATGGTCCATATGCTTACCACTGAGCTTGCGTTTGAATCGCTAGGAAAGTATGATTGGCGCAGGCCAATGTATCAACTGTTCATTGGTCAGTTTGTTGGAGATGCTTTCGGTCTTCCCGCTCTGCCGAACCATACAGGTCGCCTTGCCCTGTCCCTGAGCCTGCCCCGCTGCCTTTTACCCACCTGGGGATCATTGTTCCTCTCTGCCTGCATGAGCATGGTGTCAATGGCCAGCATGAATGCCCCGTCCAGCTTGTCGATGCGCTTGCTGATGGCCGCGTTGGCCGCCAGCTGTACCGTCAGCTCCTCCAGGCCGCCCGTGTTGCCGAGATCCTCCAACTGCACTCACACCACCCATGAGGGACGCCTCAGGCCGGGCCAGCTCTTTCTCACTCGATTCGCACATTAATGGTAATACCACGATGGCAGTTGCTGTTTAGTCCCCCTCTGCCTCCTGGAACCACTAAGCTCCATTCTCCTCACTCCAAGGTACTTGCATACTTCATCATTAGAGCAAAGTGCGAGGGGCTCCGCAATGTTTTCATAGCACTCTCTGAAGTTCGGCCGATGTGGCCTAGCACAGTTGACCGTAAATTCCAGCGAGGATATTGGGGGCATACTATGCCACTGATGTTGCAAGGTCAGTCAAAACGATATTGGACTTGGATTCTCCTGATTATGAATGAGAGTGTTTGCCGGGGAAAGAAAAGAGTGGCATAGGTCAGAATCCCTATAGTGACGCAAAGGTCCGTGACACTCACATAGCTGAGCATTTCCCTCAGCGTGGCCTGCGCCAGCGCAGCAGCCCGGTCCAGTGCATCTTCCGTGAAGGGAGGACTCTCTACGTATGGAGGCGGGCTGGTGCCAGGAACAGCACAGGTTACCACCGGCCTGCGCACTGCTCTTCGCCTCGTGCTTGCGCGTGAATGCTCTACTTTCCCCGTCGTGATGCATTGGGGTGGCGATGTCCGGCTGGTCGCTTGCGAATGCGACACCCTCCGGGCAGCGAGCAGTGGTGAGGCGAGGGGGCAGGAGCACAAAGGGCTAACTGAGGGGTCAACCTCGCAGCATTGGACGACAAAGCTGGCTCCACCTGCACCAACCAAAGAGGCAAGCCGGCTTGTCGCCATTGTCGCTGTCACTGCTTGGCCGCCACGAAATCAAGGTTCCGTCTTCTGGCAGAAGTTCTGCAGCCTCAGCCTCAGGCTCCATGCGTTGGACCATGCTTGGCGGACGACAGCGCGCGCGTGTCCGCGCATCACAAAATCGGACTGAGAGTCGGAGCTAGAGTGCAGGACTCGAGCTTAAAAAGTGGGCGTCGGGGTATAAAACCCCTATTTGCCAGACTGAATTGGGAGTCGGCCAAGTCACAGTAGCTCAAGTGGATAGCGCGCTCGCCTAAGCTCGGCTGAATCGGCCGAGGTCCTGAGTTCGATTCGCGGAGGTCCCAACTTTTTCGAGGTTTACTTCTTCCTTTTTGCAACACCAAGCTATTAAGGCAGGCTTTTGGGGGCATACCGGGCAAGTGATTTGGCCCGAGAAACGCGATCTAACGGTCAAATATTGTGTCACTAGAACTTGGGCTCATCTGACGGCGTATGTTGTACCCTATTTGCAGTGTACCGGGCATAGTCTTTCATGACGTCATGGTTTTCTGGCGGTACCTCTAACTCTAGAAGTACCGTACCAGATATATGCGGTACGCTGACGCTTGCTTATGTCACAGCTCATCGATACCGTCCGATGGAGGTCCAATCGATTGAGCCGATGGGATCTGCAGCGTCCGATCAGATTCGGTCAATTTGGGACCCGCGGGTCCCACGCCCACTTTCAAGTTTAATTAAAGTGGGCTTAGGACGTGCACGTCCTTTTCAGATTGAACGCCGATCGAACGGCCCAACATTCATCCAGTCGATCTGACATTTCGCGATGAGCGGTCATGATGATTTGTCGCTTCAACATGCTGGGATGTACCGCGGTACCAGTGGTACAGTACCTCTTATCAAATGAGTACCGCGGAGGGCCGGTGACGTCATAGCCATAGTTGCCCGGTGAATCTAAACTTGCAGCGTTTTAAGCCTTTCGATCACCACCGTATTTTCAATATTGCATACAGACCGTCCGATGGTCAACTTTGGGCCAGATCGGGTGCCCGGTGTGTACTCTTTGACAGGCCCTAATAAGCAAGTGCCCCAAAAAGGAAGGTGCAAAAAGTGGCAACAAGATACAGTTGGCTGTTTGAACTCACGACCTCGGACCTTCCTTGTCAATTTTAGGGCTGCGCGCTAGCCACCTGAGCCACGGCGAATCGACCGGGTTCCGGGTCGGTCTTGAAAATACCGGTTTTATACCCCGACGCCCACTTTAAGGTATGCAAGAACTGCGACATGCAAGGTTGCTCCTGGGACAAGAAGGTAATTCACGCAAACTGCTGTAGGTTGACAACCTTGTCGTGCAACATTTCTTGCATAATGATTATATTGCGAGGATCGCTCATGATTTTTGCGCTGCCTTTTGACCATGGTATTGGACGGGCATCATAAAAGCGTTAATTCTGCGTATATGAAAACGCTAATCGGTGTAGGTTTTGAAACGAACATGTATGCATGTGAACTGGTGAACCTTAGGGGCAGCTTTTGCCCGAAGTGCATGTGATCCGCGAAATACCAATTTACGCTGCAGTAATGGACTGCATTGCATGCCATGCCGCATAGAAAGGTATCAGATCTTTGAATCGATTGGATCTGCAATTGACTTAAGCCTAGCTGTAGACTTAGTTACGCATAAATTTGAAATGTCAACTAATATTTCTTTGACCTCCCAGGCTCCCAGTAACCTGCTATTAAGTCAATTAGCACTTGATTTACATTGAGAATTGAATCTTATTACTCTTGATCACACTGATGACGCATCTTAAGTAACTTGCAGATCGGAAAGTCCTACGATTCGACTTGCACATGAGGGAATATAGTATTATGCAGGGTGTTACGCACGGATGTGCCTAATGCAAAAACTGGACACACATATAGTTTGTTTGTCAAGCATGCACCGCATGAACGCCTTGCAACTTCTGACAGGTCATACGATCTCCGAGCATCCACATTCTGGATGCGGACTGCGCTAGCAACGTACTGTTCCTTGACACCACGATGTCAATGGAGAAGACTTCGTCTTTGAATGTTCGACTCACTTCTAAGTGTCGGCTCGAATGGCGAACCTGATTTGTGTTTGTATGTGTGCTTTCTGGACGTCTAGATACGATCATGACTAACCCATGACACTGGACGCGACTTACTAGCAGCGACAGGACTTACTAACGGCGACACTGGACCTTCTAAGAAGATACTAGACACAAAACCCTCCCCTCCACGATAAGATCACCTCCGCATTTTCGCCATAGCAAGCAGCTGCATTGGAGAACAGCTCAAATCAGTTTCGAGGGAAACCGCATAGGGCCAGTAACCAGCAAAATTCTTCACCGTTGTGTAGAGAATGTGTCAATGGATAGCAGCGGCGGGTATAGGTGCGAGCCTGGCGGCCACCCCGAAAAAGCGATCTGACGCTCCCGGGTTGGCCACGGTATCGTCCGCCCTTTCTGCGCTACAGCAACAGGTATCCTGCTCACCTGCCTGGCCCCCTGCATGAGGCGCCGCTTGTTCCTGGTGTCCATCTCGGAGTCCAGGTTGCGGGCGGACTGCCGCACGAAGACGGACGTCGTCTTGCGGCCGCTCTTGGTCCGACCCACGGCCGCGTCCTGCCGGGTGGTGCGCGCGACCTTGGCGGGGGGCTCCGGAGCAGACTCGGCCTGCTGCCGAGGCCGCTTGGCCGCCCCACTGCCCGCCTTGCCAGGCGGGGCTGCGAGAGAGCAAGGCGGCTTGGACACGGTGCACAACGAATCAAAAGAAAGGTAAACAACATTCGTGCAGGCCGGAGAAAGGCGCAAGCAGACATGAGAAAAGCCTGAGAGGACAGTCCACTTCAAAAGCAGATTGTGCAAAGCAAGGGGACATGGCTGCTTGTGGCGCCTCACTTTTCGCAGGCTTGCGCATGGACAGCTTGTTCTGAGGGGTTTTCTTCCCGGTGGGGCTGGTTGCCTCGTCCCCGCCCTGGTCGACCAGCTCGACCACCGTCGCCTCGCTCTCCGCCCCCTGCTCCTGTCCCCTCTTAGCCTCCCCTTTCTTCCCCCCCTGCTCCTTATCCGCCGCGCGCGCCGCCATGGCCTGCTCCAGCCCCGCCGGCAGCTTGGTCAGCCGCACCACCGGGGTGTCCTCGTCTGCCGCCGCCGCGCTGCCTGCTCGCCCGGGCGCCTGAGGCGATTTCCCGACCGGCGTGCCGGCCTTGAGCGCGCTGTCCTGCGACACCAGCTTCTTCCGCCGCGCGATCGGCACCGTCTCTTCGTCCGACTCCGTTTCGGACGGGGCGTCGGCCGGCCCCACGGGGCGCGCACCCTTCGGCCCTTTCTTGGCCGCCTTCTTGACCCCACTCTTTGCGATCGCCTTCACTGCCGCTCCCCCCTTTCTAGACGCTCCGGCCTTGGCAGTCTTCGTCCCCGTGCTCCCCTTCTTGTCGGGTTTGGTGCTGGGCTTGGGTGCGGGCCTGGGCGGGGGCGGCCCCTCGTCCTCGCTGTCCATCACCTCCGCCACCACGCTGAGTAGCCCCAGCTTGGGCTCCTTGCGCAAAATCTCCAGGCCCGGCCGCGGGGGGCGTGGCCGCGGGCGTGGCTTCGCGGGCTTGGCCCGTGCGGAGAGCAGCTTGCGCAGCTTCGAGATGGGCTCGTCCTCCGCCAACGTCCGCTTCTTGCGCTTGGCAGGAACAGCGGCCCGTCTGGGGGCGGCGGGTGAGGCAACCGCGGCTGCAAGGTGCCAAGCAATTGAACTTAACGAGCAGATTTCGGGAACAAGAAACTTGACGATGACGAGCTTCGCCGTGGTCTTGGGGGAACAGCAGAGGCGGAACTTGGGGCCCAGGATAGACAAAACCCTCGCACCTCTATGCAGTCGATTGCACCGGACCCCTCCTAGCACCACACCGCACGCACTAGCTCCGAAGCCCCTCGAAAGGCTGCACATGACGTGGTAAACTTCCGCAGAATTCCTCTACAGCCCCTACCTTTCTTCAAAGCCCCGGTTGGAGCCTCCACCAGCTCAGGTGGAGGCCCTGCTTTCGCCGGCGCAGCCACTCGCTCCTCCTTCTCCTGCTCCACCGGCGTTTCAGGGACCGCGGCATTAACGTTCAAGGGCTTGCTCTTCTCTTGGACTGCAGCCGTGTCCCCCGCTTTGGCCGCTGTCTCTTGAGCATCCGCGGCAGGGGCTGGTGCGGCCGCTGCCCGGACGCGCTTCTTCTTAGTGGCCTTCTTGAGCTCCATTGCTGCGCGAGCCTCCACCTGGGCCAGCTGCAAAAGAAAAGCGCACGCTAAACTCAGTGAGAGAGAGTCGCGAAGTACTTGCTGTCGGGACTTCGGAATTTCTCTTCAACAGAAAGAGGGACGATAATATTATATGAGGCGCATTCAAGTTGTCGTATATGCAAGTAGACGCGAGACAAGGAGACGGTTGCAGCGCCGAGCGCCCCGTAGTGCCCACGCTTCAGACGTCCTGCCATAGGGAATTATCAATGTCGGAAACAGCCCGTCTGAGGTATGGTCGCAGCGGGGCGGCGGCGCCCTTACCCTCCTCTGGAAGCTGTCCTGGATGCGCTTGATCATGGCCATGGCCTGCTCCTTGGTGTCCTTGAGCATGCGGTCCGCCTGCGCCGCGCGGTTCTCCGCAGAGATGACGCGTGCGGCCGCCTCGCGCCCAATCTGCTCCGCAATCTCTTTGACCGCGATGTTGAACACGGCCGTCAGGCGCGCCTCCGCAGTGGCCACCGCTGCTTGGACCAGCCCCAGGTTGCCTGGAGACAAACAAGGAAGACCGATGAAGCCGCAATCCAATCGCCCTAAGGTCGATATTCTCACTTTCTTTCGACATTACTGCACGCCCGAACATGAAAGGAAGGCTGTCAAGTCAAACAACTCTCTGAACTGTCGGTGGTACTCCGAGGGCTTGAGGGTAGTTGAACCTCCAACGGCAGACGTCTCAGCAGCAGATCGAGACTGCAAGATCTCAAGATCATATCGTGGCCTACAGTTCATCCAAGTAGCCTTTCTCTGTTATTTCGGCTCACCTGCCATCATGGCCCGCCCCATGACCGCGGAGTGGTCCTGCTGGATGCCCTGTACCGCCTTCTGCATCGCCTCCTGCACCACGTACCGGCTGGCCGGGAACAGGCTCTCCAGCGCCGACTCGCCCTCCCTCTGCGGCCGCACCGTCGGAGTCCCCGCATACGGGCCTGTGCTGGGAGGCGTGGGCGCCCGCTCTAAGAGCACTGTGCGCGGGGTCAGGTTGTCCGTGGGCTCCGCCACGGTCGTGGGCACCTGGACGCGCGGCTTGGGAGGCATCTTCACGGCCTCCGGTGCCGCACTTCCCGGGGCAGCGGCAGCCCCGCCAACGCCTGGTGCTGGACCAGATACAGCCGGAGCGTCTCCTCGTAAGATCTGCCCCCGGCTGACTGCCGTATGTGTGGTGCTGACAGGGGGTGGAGAGACAAGGGCGGAGGCTTGTGCAGCGCTAGCTTGGGGCTGTGCAGCGCTGTCAGTGTTTGGAGGAGCACCGACGGCAGAATTCCCAGCCCCCTCCGCTGGCCCCATGGCTGTGCCCGCTGCGGTCATTTCCGTGGCAGGCCTGAGTGCTGGTGTCGCCGGCCCGACCGCAGCCTCCTCGGCGCCCTTGGGCTCCACGAGCGCCTCGCTCACAAACAGCTCGACGTCCGCGCCGATCTTGGGCTCAGCATTTTCGTCCTTGGGCCCCTCATCCTTCTTCGCGGCCTCCCCGTCAGCTGGCTGCCCCTGCGGCCGCTGCTCCTCCACTCTCCTGGTGGGGTCCTGCGGGTGCTGCCCCGCCCCGCGGGCAAGTGCGTCCGCGGAGGTGCTGAAGACGTTGACCATGTGTGAGACGACGGTGTTGGGCGACGGCATGTCCACGGTGTCCCCTGTGACACCGTACAGGCGCGCGACCTGCCGGATCTGCTCGGGGGTCATCCCCGCCACCGTGCGCTGCACTGCCTCCTGGATTGCGTTCGTGGACGCCAGCAAAAACCCTGGCGCGAGACAGAAGAAGTAATTCAGCCAAGAGCGCCAACCAGGCTGCTGCGGATACGACGAAGCATGAACAGCTGCCATCGGAATATTAGGAGGTAACCCTTGACAGACAACGAAAGACGTTAGCATTCATGTGCCGAAGGTTTCAAAGATCTCCAAAGCTTTGAACAACTACGACGTTCTATTTAAACTGTCTTCAACCACTCTTGCGATCAGCACTTTGAAAAGGGAAAAAGGTGCAAGAAGAGCGACTCCGATGCTTAGTTGTCTCAGCAGTCTCCAGACCAGTCAGTAGCCGAACGTGCAGGCTTACCGGGAGAGAGCGCAGAACCAAAGAAGCCGCCGTCTTCCGGACCCCTCCGCCCCCTGCCACCCCGGCCACGACCCCGGCCCCTTGCTCTCAATGTCGACCCGCCCCGGGGGCTCTTGAAGTCCCTGAAAGAGGGCGCGCCGTACGGTGACGACAGTGGAGAGTAGAGGGCTGGAAGGCTTTCTGGTCCAAGCGCCTGCCTAGCGCTACCATCGCTGGACTCAGGGCCTGAGGGCCAGTCACCGGGTGGACCCTGTGACAGGGGCGTCTGAGAGCCCCAAAGCCCGCCCAAGCCCCCTGACTGTCCCGGCTGCAAGGCCCCTGGCACCGGGCCACTGCTTGCATTCCCTCCCAGCGAAGTTACGGCAGGCCCGCCCCACTGTTGAGAGGGGCCCCCAGGGGTCGGTTGAGTTCCCAAGGGGGACAGAGCAGGGGTGCGGGGAGGGGCGTTTGCATTAAGCTCAATGCGAAACACTGTGGGGGGATGACCAGCGTTAGAAGCGTTTGGGCCACCGCGCGGATGCCCTGGATGGCGCCCCTGTGGCTGATGCGCGCCATGAGTGGTGGTCACAGTGACGGCAGCGCCTGTAAGAGACAACCCACACTTACATGTTATGCGTTGCTGAGTTGGGCAACATGGAAGAGCCTGCATCCCTCACCAGCTAGTGGCTAAACTTGTTCATGAAGTCATACCGCTCACAAATCTGAGCAAGCGAGACAAAGAAGGGTATCGATGTCAAAGGGACAATATCACAAGGCAGCAAAGAGATCATATGTTTCGTCTTTGTGACATCGGCAAAGAAGGTTGATTCAACCTGCACGAGCGCAGTCCCAGGGTCTACAACTTGCGAGATGGCAACTTGCGACAAGGCATTCTAACCAGGTCCAATAATTCCCTGTACAATCCTTCAGATTAAGCATGCACGTTTAAAGGCTCACCTGATGGCAGAAAGAATCTTGGGCTGGCAGTTGGAAGCCCCACCGAGCGCGGCGTTGGGGGCCGCGGCAAGATCAGCTGGGGCCGGGCAATGCCGGCAGAGCGTGATGCAGTGGCAGGGTACTGAGTGGGGGCTTCTGCAAACAAGGAACAACATATAAGGGCTGCTGTACACAAATGCTGTACAGGTTGACAAGATGAGAAGACAAAAAGAAAGAGCATCTGAACAAAAGGGCCCCTGAAAAGAAGTATTGTGGAGCAGTGCAGCCAGCACAATGCCGATTACAGCAGACCTGGGCGCTGCAGCACAGCCTCAAGAAGGCTGGATGAACATTGGCCACCTCTGCATGCTTTGCCCTTGCAAGTCAGGGGCAGTCTGGCAGGGCGGCTGCAAAGCTTACCAGACATGATCGGTTGCAGCCCCCCTCCTGCTTGCACGCCTGCGCTTGCAGCTGTTGGTGGGCCTGTTTGAACAGCGGCGCTGACATGACGGGCTGTGCCACTTCCTGCAAGATGGTTGGAGAGTGGGTTGGGACTTGTCCAGCCCTGGAGCCCTGAATCAGAACTGAACAAATCAGTAGGATCGACAAGATTACTCTCCAAGACCTCCTCTTATCAATGCTAGTACTAGTCACCAAATGTGCATGCTTAGCTGTGATGAGGGCGGGCTGATGCTGGGCGGGGTCACCCTCACAGCATTTTACCTTTCTCAGAGGAGGTCCCTGGCGCAGCACTTGGAAGGCCTGTGGCCATGGAAGCAGGCGTGTTGCGCACGGGCTGTGCGGTGGCCCCGCTTTTCTCAGTCCCTTCTTGAACAACCGCCCCATGTGGTGCGGGCCTCCCTCCTTGCACCCCTCGTTCGGATGCTAGGAGGTACTGCTCGGCTGCTAACACAAGGCCCTGGGGCACCTGGTTGAAGTCTGCAACCTGGGCCAGCACGGTCTGCATGCCCGGTGCGCTACTAGTGGTTATGGGAGATGAAGCAGGCAATGAGTGCTGGGCCGGCGGCAGCATTTCGCTGGCGGGCTGCTGATGACCCTCTGATGCACTGGAGGAGGGCGGCTGGGATGGGCTGGCCTGGACCACTTCAGATGGCCCCGGCACGTCCATGGCAAGCAGCATTAGCCTGCATACAACGCTTCGGATCAGCCTGGCCGCTTTGATTGTTCTGTGACAACTCGATTCAGCATTCCTGAAGCGAGTAATACTGGTTCCAGACTCATTGACCTCTGAACAGCTTGTCGTGCAACAGCATTTTGTGGTCTCCCTGAAAGCTGAACAACCCCCCCTGGTATTGAAGGACAAGAAGAGCAACTCCATCATTGAATAGTCCAGAATAGCTCTTGCCCTGCAGGCCAGGGATGAAGAAACCAGTAATCATGCACTTAAACAGGCTCTCAACGAAGCAAGCAATGCTGCACTACGCAGGCAAGATAAAATTTGCTGGTCCCTAATTCTTGTTGGAAGCGAAAGATCATTCCTTCGTTCCATACACTCACTGCAACAGGAGATTTGACCACTGTGACAATCACATGACGAGAACTTTAAAGCATCCCTCCCTGCTCTACTCGGCTCCAAGATCCAAAGTTGCTGTGTCAAACATGATGCGGCTCTAAAATTAAAGCCACGCTTGGCACAGCACCACCTGAACAATCACAAGTCTCTCGGCACATACACAACAGACGAAATAGCACTTCCTCAGCATTTGTTACCTTGCTAGTAGGGGTTGAGTTGCCCATTTAACATGCAGCATTCTTCGCACAAACATGCGGCTCCCAAAATCAGCCAATTCTCAACATGGTGATTTACCTGTCCGCATCAGACCTTGTGCTTGGGCAGATGAACACAACTCTATCTAGCTGAAGAAAAGGCAATGCTGATGAAAAAAACGAAGCAACTCACCGACAGACTTGGCGTGGGTTCAATCCTTGGGCTTATTGCGTACTTCTTTCGACTAAGAGGTCGACTAACTCAGTACATGGACAACGACCAGGAGCTCTCCAGTTTCTGTCGCAAGGTACAGCATTTCATGGTGCCGGCCTCCCTATGCGATTACCAACACCGAGATGCTCAAGAACAAGCCGCCAAGGTTTCAAAACCATTCCTAGAAGCTGGTAAAGCCATACCATCAAGGTTCATGAACGCAAACACTTTGGCGAGCTCTTCCTCTCTCCCTCTCCAAAAGCACGCGACGTTCGTGCAAACTTTGAAAAGCTCTGAATCTTGAATCTGTACGCTACTGTACTTGGACAAAGCAGACGCAGCTGAGCTCAGTGTGATTTTGTACCGACCGCAAACCGTGTGATGGTGACCCTGTACGCGGGACGAGTCAACGCAGTCTGAGTACCATTCGCTACATGCCACGAAAAGCTCAGATTCCTCGTCGAGCACAAGCTCAGCACTATGCGTCAAATCCATATGCACCTTCGATCATCCGCGCGAGTGACGCTTTGAAGAGATCGACGGCCGTACGTGGTTATAAGTGACATCAAATTTGTCATCACCGAAAAGGAGTCCTTTTGTTGCCCACTTCCATACTGGCTGGCTAGGCGCCGCGAATTCGAACTCGCTCAAAACCGTGTACAGAGATCTGAAACTCGCGCGTGCGCCCTTGTTGCAGACTTGATCGCGCGCGCGCCCATCGATCTACCTACTGTAATACATTGCAGCTCCGAGTCGGTCCAGTCTCGACAGCTCAGAGTCGAAATCAAATGCTTGCAGGGGCGCAGCTACAAATACAATCAAATAGCGGCAATGTTCTCCCAAATCAGCACCTTGCCATTTGCACACTTCATGCATGTTCAGCATTGGCTTCCATGCGACTGAAAACTTAGCATGTATCTTTCTACAAGTGTCTCACAAGCGCTGGCTTACGTGCTTTCTTCCCACTAAACTTTGCTGTTGAGGAGGATATACCCGCTTCCTTCTCACCATGCTAAACCAACTAAATCAGCCAAGTAGACCGGGAATCTACACGTTTTATGTCTATAACAAGCAGGGAATATGCATCCACTACCGAGAATGGACGCGACCACTGGTGACACTGAGCTCTCAAGAAGATCAGAAGCTGATGTTTGGCTTGCTCTTCTCCCTGAAATCATTCACTGCAAAATTGGATCCTATCAAGTGAGCTATCGCTGCCTCCTTTCTGTCCACGTTGCTGCTCTTTGCATAGTTTGAGGCGCATTTGAACGTGGGTAAAATTGAGCCTCAATCGTCCTGCACCCGAATTCTTCAAAACATGGGCATGTGATTGAATTGTCCAAGCACATGGAGTGCTGTTTGAGACCTCTTCACTACACGTCTGGTCCAACAGAACTGATACTGTGTGCTCTGCAGCGGTGACAATGCTGGTCAAGCAGGAAAGGGGTGCTCCTTTCATAGTTTCAAAACCAACACTTACAAGCTCAGCTACTTCGAGACTGCTGCTGGTGTCAAGGTGGGCAGCAGAGTTTGTCAGAGATTGTATAATCTACACAAAAACTTAATGGAAGATAGATGTCCTGAGAGTCGGATCTGTGCTATTGTGGTGCTTCTAATCTACTCTGCTCAGTAGGTGCATCATGACTTTGGTTGTCCAAGCACTTAAATCTGTTTCGGTGTGACGACTGGTGTTGCCCTTATTGTGTGTCCGTGGGGCCCTTTGCTTGGCACTCAATCTGTTCCCTGGAGGCTGCTGATTCATAGCATGTCTTTGTTGCGCAGTTTGTCCTTGTGACTGATCCAAGGATGGGAGACCTGCGAGAAGCGCTGAGGAATATCTACAGCAATATCTATGTTGAGTACGTCTCCAAGAATCCCATCTACACTCCGGGACAGCCTTTCCGGTCAGTTTCCTGGACACATTCTTAACATGAAGACTCTTGCACTGGCGCAATGCTTTGCTGAATCAAGAACTCGTCTTTAATAGTCCACCTTCTGAAAGTAAACATGTCTTCAATGTTTGTTAAGGGTCGATTTCATAGCCAAATACCAGATTATCTCTCAGGCACAACCATCACGTCCATCAGGAGGTTCATACGTGTGTCTTTCAATAGGACATCGCTTACTTGACAGGTCGAATGTGCAGGTGTGAGCTTTTTGAGTCAACACTTGATGCCTACGTCAAAAGCCTCTGACAACAAGGTCCATGAAAGGAGGCAAACGTCCTTCAGGCCTTTGAAGAAGGCCTTCCGGACGAACTTAGCAGAACCTTTGCGGAAATGCAGGAAGGGTCAATCACAGCTTTTGAAGCATGCCTTTGTGCATGTTACCTTCTTTCTTCTTTGCTTTATGACGAACAATCAAAGAGGAACGATGGTCGAGGCTTTGCTATCAAGGCTCTACAAGCGATGCTAGACATATTGAAGAATTTTGGTCTGATCGCGTCCAATGTACCATGTTATAGCCTCTAACGAAGCACATCCATGAAAGAAACTAGGACTTTATGACTAAAAGGGCGCCGGTTACTTAGAGAGCTTCCGCTATGACGAGATAGGTCGCACCATCCAATGCTCCGGCCATTTTGTTATGTGCCCTTTTGCACGCTTACATGATCACCGAGATCGAGCGGAGTTTCGAGATTCTTTGGTTCGGGCCCGTCTCAATTGATGCGTATGATCATCAATGCACAAAGAGAAGAGTCATTGCGTGCCATGTAAAACCTATGCAGATGGTAGAATTTATGTCTCTGATCGAGCTGTTGCCCCATGTTCGGCTTTTAGCATACTTGAAGTTGAGATCACTTTTTCAAACCTATGAATTATATATCTAGTCGAAGTGGTCGGAACCTCCCGCACGGATTTTCCGAATCAAGTTCGCGGTATAGCTAGCTACATGATAATTAAGGTGGTAGGACGTACGGTAATTCAGCCAGAAAAGAGGGTTTCTAGGGTTTGAAGGGGCGTAACTTGGTCATAACGTGGTCAAATCGAGTCCCGTCTTTTGCATCTTTCGGGGGGGACCAAGGAGGCCCCCTCGAGCACTCTGGGACCACCTCGAACTCACTGACGACTTGTCGAGGAAAGTCTGAAGTTGAGGAAGTTTGAACATTTACCCCCCTACATGAACCCTTGGCCGTCAGAAAAACGAAATGATAGAATTCTCATTGACCCCCCTAAAACTGAATCGGGGCAAGCTGGGATGTCTATCGAACGGTTAAATCACAATATTGACGAAAATGTGCACCGTTAATGGTCAAAACTCCCAGCTTATATGCTCAAAATGGTTTTTTCTCAGGTTGTTGACCAGGTATGTTCCCCCCTGGCGGTGCACATTTCCGTCAGATTTTTTTTGGAAAAATGTTTTTGACATCCCAGCTTGCCCCGAAGGTGATTTCCTCTTGTTCGAAGGAAATTTATCGTGGCAGTTGACAGGCAGAAAATCCAATGGAAATACCCCTTTGAACCAGGTTGTTTGGAGTTGGCAGGGTTTCTCAGACTGACCCAAACTACTTCGAGGTGGTTAGAGGAGCTTCGAGAGGACCCCGAGGGTGTCTCGAAGCCATTGGAGAAGACGAAACCTGATTTGGTTTAGTTTTGAACATTCTATGAACCAGAACGTAAACCAGGGTCAATCCAACCTGAATTACCGTCCTACCACCTTAATGACACGGGTGAGCTAGCCGGCCGCATGCATATACGATTGGTCGGAGAGCTGCGCTTCTGTCCGGTGGTGACCAGTTAGTATATACGTGTACATACTTGCAGGACAATTCGAACCATATTTGTGCCACTAGTAATTTACATGACAACTCTCAGCCAACCTTGAAACAAAATTCCTTTTGTTGCCAGCCAGCTGCCCGCACTCAGACACGTGGTCTTATTAGTAACAAATATACGGAAAGGGACAACGATTTGAGTAGTGCACCATTACTAGAATTCAGCATGTAATCTGGTCAATCATGCAAGCCCATTCAATGCAATGCCTGTGCTGAGACACCTCGCAGGTGGATGTAATGATTTCGTTTGTCATTTTCATCGAAGTGTCAAGAGACACCCAATTGATCGACCCCTTATGTAATTCTGCGTGCAAGTAAGGCATGCCTGCAACGATTTGCAGCTCAGTAAATTGACTGCGACTTGACTGCAATCGACAAGTTGTGACTCGGGCTCCCTGTTCGTTCGTTGACGTGTGATACCCGGTTAAGAGTCTCCAGATGCAGCCAACCTCCTTGAAGCCCGTCCCTTTCGCCGCTCCCTTGCACGCGACCTACCCGATGGGAGCTTTGACGACCCCGACAAATCAACATCCCACTTCGACAGAATCTGCTCAACATCCCTATGCCCTAACTTTGCAGCAACCTGCTGCGGGGTTAAGCCATAAGAATCTTGGATATGCCAATCTGCCCCAGCAGTAAGCAGATTGAGAACAAACCAAGTAAGGCTCTTCGTTGCGCTGATATGCAGCGCCGTGCTTCCATACCTGTTCCGAGCATCAATGAGGGGAATGCTTCCCAAGTTGCCAGCGCGTGCTGAGAAGCTGCTAATCTGCTCTTTATCCACACCTAAACTGACCCGTTTTGAGGGCCCTAGTTGGGCCCCTGAGTGCAGGCCATGACGGGTCTCTCGAGCTAGCACAGTGCTGGAGACGAAGGAGGGTAGCCCAGGCGGGAGGAGGTCCGGCGGTTCAGATGCACTCTCCTTAAACGCTGTCTGAAGCAGGAGATTAGCAACATCCTGACGGTTGGCCACTGCAGCAGCCATCAGGGGTGTCCACCCATCCCCTGCAGGTCGTGTGTAACGTTTGGGTCACCGTTCGTATTTCCAGCTCCTTGTGAGCGACAGGAAAGGGATTGTGCAGACAACGACATGGGCATTGAGACAAAGGGCAGGCCTGTGCAGAAAACGACAACAGCATAACATGTTGACAACTGCCTAGCAACAGTGGCAATCAGACTCAACTCCAAAACTGCGTTGCCTCCAAAGCTGAGAAGGACATCCTCACCATACGCGTTAGCATCTTGCCACTCAAGATTCCTCGTGTGGCAGTGTTGCAACATCACCGCGACCACGTCGCAATGACCTTTCAGAGAAGCTATGTACAGTGGGCTCTCGTTCCCCCGGTTGGCAGCGAGGACATTGGCACCCCCTCGGATAAGGGCGTCTACACAGCCCGCATGCCCGTTCTCGGCGGCTAGGAACAGCGCTGTTGCCCCCCCGACATCCCGTGGACCATCTCCAACCACTACTCCCTCCCCTCCTGCTGACGCCCCAAGCGCTAGCAAGCGGACCACTGATGCGGTGTCTCCCCTTGATGCAGCTACATGCAGGGGTGTGCGCCGCCGCTGATCGGAGCAGTTCGAAGCCGCAGTGAGAGCGGCTCTCTCCTGAGCTGATGCATGACTATGAAACCACGAGTGGGCCTCCTCGAGATCCTTAGTGTTGCAGAGGTCCCAGACCCGCACTTGACGCTGCTGCTGGTTGGAGGATAGGGATGCCCGGAGAGAGGCAAGAAGTGCCGTCCCACAGGAAACTGAGCCGTTGGCATTTCCGTTCGACCATGCTCCTTGCCCTTCCCAGAAGGTGACCTCAAGCAAGCGCAGCTGCTGGAATCTGGAAAATGCGTCGGCCACCTCATCTACTCTCTGGCAATCCACTTTTGAGCCCCCAAGGCATAGAACCTCAAGCTTGCTTGAGGCAGTCGCCAAGGCAAGAAGATGTTCCGTTTCAATCTTGCCACAGTTGTGCATCGCAAGGATTCGCAGACGTTGGCCAGCAAGGCGCACCCTCTGTAAAGGTGACTCCCCTACCTCTGCAGGCGGCCCTCCTGACTGAGGGCAAGCATTCGCATCTGACAACGAAGGCCCCAGGATGCTTATTTTGTCATGCTCGAGAATGGCTTTTAGGGCGTCCAAGGAGGAGATGTGGCTAAGGAGCAAAGTCCTGAGGAAGCGGCCAGAAGACCCTGCTCCCGTGAGGAGCTCTAGCAAAGGCAAGCTGTAATCAGCGGTCCACATCCGGAAGCACCGCTGCAGGTTGAGCAGCTCGAGTCCCTGCCCAAATTGGCCTGAATTAAGAGCTTGCACGGCTGCCACCGTTCTGCACAAACAAAGATCCAGATTGGCTTCAGCTCAGCGTGCAGAACAACAGCCCCTGAATCTGGAGTTTTCAAAAACAAGGAAAAGAGCCCACCACAAGCACCACCGACCAGAAACAAAACCCCGCAGAAAGCGATAAGCACGTAAAGCGAGGAGCGCTGTGGTTAACCAGCAGAGTCTTGCGCCCGACCAGCCACCTCTTGGAGATAGCAATCTCAGATTTCCTAGTAAACAACCTTGTAGAAACAAGTTTGAGCCAGGCTGATGTAAAACACTGTGTACAACTTTTCAACGGTTGAGAAACCTTGCAAAACTTACAGCTTCTGACACCCCCCAAGATTCAGGCTCCTCAGCGCAGAGATGCTTTGAAGGAAGTGGAGGTCCATGTCTGACACCGCGCAACCTCTCAGGTCCAGGGCGACAACATTGTTGAGTGTTTCACAGATCCCTTTCAGCGCCACCTTCAAAGGCAGGACCCTTGATAGCGGAACATCGCCACCAACCTCCTGAGGCTCTACTCGTAGAGCCAGCGGGGCTTCTTGGCAAGCACTTCTCAGTACCTTGCAACTGCAGGCGACTGAGGCAACATCGGCGACACTCTGAAGCTTTGCAAGGACTAATCCTAACAAAGGCAGGGGAAGATCCAGAAGGTCCGTCTCCATGGTGCAAGTCCACTGAGCCCCACCACCCGCCCACCTTCCACCCTGACCCCTGCCACCCTGCTACAATAACGCCCCTGCCCCTCCCGAGCGCTCAACCCACCCCTCCCTAGCACCTGCCTACAAATCACCTGATCGCTGGCCTCTGAGGCTCGTCCCAGTTTTAACCACATGTATGTGCAGGGCAAGGGCACAGCGACGATCAGATAGGGCGGGGTTTTCCGCACAGGAAGATCCGGCTGAGCTGGGCTTCAGTTGACCCTCATCGAACGGACGATAAGGCCCAAACTAGGGGGACCCCCTTGGATTGACGAACGTGAAGCTAGTGACATGGGCCTCCCCGTTTCCGAGGGGTTCTGAGACCTAATTCTTGAAGATAGCACATCATGCAAATTGGGCAACGCCACTTGGAAGTTGGTGAACTGCATTTCTCCTGACACTGAGAGGGCAGTCCATTGAGCAGCGCAATCTGCGAAGCTCGTTGCTTTTTTAAGCTTGCCAGCCCACGTGCTATCTCAAAGAGTTTTTCAGGACATTGTGATTGTAATGGCGGACGACGCAGATGGTGGAGATGGTGAACAGCTTGCGCCTGAAGCCGATGAGACGAATGAGGCGCCAGCGCTCATCATGGCCAAAATTGAGCAGCGTGGAAAGGATGTGGACGCGCTTCTTAGGAAGTAAGCCTCTTAGCGTGCATCTATCGCCTTGTCAGATCGGTCCCCTTCTTGGACCAGCTCCCTTCTGTGGAGAGAAGGCAGTCCTGTGTGTACATTGACCGCACCATCATATCTTGGCATCTCTAAGGTAAATCATCTCCTACTTCCACGTCTACTCTGTCCCCCGGTAGCTTTCATCCATGAAGCTCTTGTACCCAGAGTCACTTTCATACCAGAAAGTCTGCTACATTCAGATGTTTGACCAGACAAGTACACCCTCCGATGTGCAGGCAGCAAGTCGCAGATGCCCTTAAGACCGCCTTAGCAGATCCTCCAACGAACACACGGGACGAAAACTGTAAGGTCTGTGCAAGTGACCACTAGACAGCCTGTTTTCCCGAGCGGCGTCTTTTCTATGGGCTGTAAAGATTCTGCTTCTCCATCTTTCATGCATGGTAGAGGAGCGTTAGACTTCATGTGTAGAGTGCAGGATTGCTGCTTCCAGATTGTTAGTCACTCTTGAGCCAAAAAGTGTTCCTTTTCAATACTGCAGGATGCCAATTATGCCGTCATGCTGAAGGCGATAATGTCCGTGAAGGAGGTAGACCCAGTTTTGAGTCAGCTCTCCTCAAAGGAAGCCGATATTCTGATGAAGTAAGTTACTTTTCGCCCTCATGGTAAACACGCCATTTTGATAAAGTCTGCTGAAACCTGAGCTTTGTTTGACAAGCCCTGAATACCGAGTGTTGAGATTTCTTCAAAGCCTTGAATGGTCGAGTGTTGGAGAGGGTGTCCCAGTTGCTGTCAAGCAGGACTGCCTACATTTCCAGACGCCATTACTCTTTTGTCTTGTCCAGGTACTTGTACAAAGGCCTTGCTTCTGGAGAAAAAGCGATTTGCGACCAATGCTTGCGATTACATGAAAAATTGACTGAGAAGGTAGGCGTAGGAAGTATAATCAGAGCCCTCGGCGATAGCAAGCATACGGTTTAGTCTTCTTTTCCGGGAAAGTACGAGCTGGTGACTGAGAGTCCTTTCACATGCCCTTGAGGTCATGTCTTGTACAGGGTGCGGGGATGCTTAGATTGTTTTCGACGTCTGCTGCCATTAGTTGCAAAACTTTGGTTGTGTAAGGAGAACAGGACTGTGAGATTTAGAAGGTGAGACTTTCGATTGTCATGTTATGGCTCGTTGAGTTCTACCGTTAGCACCTCCATAGAACGTTTACATTTTCCAGCTCTTTTATAATTGTCGTCAGAATCTAGCAACTGAAATATTTGTCGATCTGGGTTGCATGAAGATTTTATGTGCGTACAAAGAGGAAAACGAAAAACAAGATGTATTATGAGGATGACGATTCTTGCTTAACTTTTATTCCGGCGGGTGGCAAAGACAGCTTCAATTCTTGCCCCCAACATCACATGCATGATCCCATGGTGTGCAAGCGCCTGCTGCACTGGTGGATGAATCGTAGAATGCATGCCACACATTTATGAATATCTGACTGGAGATCCTTGCGTGATGCATAAATCAATGTATCAGTGCCGCCGAGATGATTTTGCGATCGAGGAGCCGGCTTATGAGTTGCTACTAGGTTGCTCATTTAGCTAGCTGCACCCGATTGTCAAGTATGAATATGTCACGCCCTAGCCATGGCTAGGGCGTGTTGCAACTAAACAACTCAAGGGTCAACTACATACAGCGCGGAGCTAGCTGCATCCATACTACAAAAATGAACCAATCGATGGGCCTGCAGCAATTTCAAGGGGATTTGAAGCTTGTATCGAGGCAGATTGGCCGAGTTGCAACGAACATTCGAGTCACCCTGAATTGGTTTTGATGAGATGGTCATTGTTTGCGTCCAGGGCCACGGCCTAGCTGGGGTCATTCACGGCTGCAACTTTATCTGAATTGTTGTATTCATTTGTTGACAGTCAATACGGATGTGGCGGTGGCCCCAGTTCTGAGCTCCAAAACACACTGCGATCGACATAAGCGGGGCCCCAAGTGTCAAAACAGAAAGTTTGCGGAGGCATCCCAGGCGACCATTTTTCAGAGAATTTCTCAAGAGGTCGGTGCAGTTAGGAGGCGGCATCGACCAATGTCGACGACGCAGCCACCCCAAGTGGGGGGCTGCCTCCATCAATCAACGGATGTACATTGTCCCATGGCCGGTGTCAGGGTGTGCGCTGACTTTCTACAAGGACACACTGGGTATCGACTTGTACCAGAGCATGAACAGGACTCCAATAGCTGGTGAAGCGGAGTTTGGGTGCAGAGAAGTATGATGCCTGAATAGCAAACTGTCGTTCATAGTTTGCAAAAATTTGGCTCAAACGTTTGCGGCCCAGGAGGGCCAGAAACTGACTATAGGCGACCGGCGGTATGAAGGGTTGCCACTGAAATGGTGGACTCAAACGACCAAAAAATAAAATACCTCTTTTACCAATAAATAAAGGCAGTCACTCAAAAGCTAGCCTCAAATAATACATTACCTAACGCTTTTGCAAAGATATATGTGTCCTTGCTTTCGCGCTGCTGCTTTGATACAAGAAGGGGGTTATGGCATTGCCAACTGTTAGAACGCTATAAGCGCAGAACTAGACCGAGGTTGGTACGTCGAACCTGCGAAAACAAGGATTTAAGGACTCGTGAGGGAAAGTAGGTATCAATAAGCTGTATCGATCATCAAGGAGTAATAGCTTTCTGAAGAGATGTTCTTATTGCCAGGACACCACCACAATCAGCGCTGAGAGCTTGAAACGAATGGGAAGGACAGATTCCCGCTTACAGTTCAAGGCTGCGAATCCGATAAGCTGTCGCGTTCTGTCGAAGGTAAAATAATCTGCAACAAGTCAATCCGCCAAGGGTGAGGCACGCAGGTGGCAACAAGCTGGACCTGCAGAAGGTTGAAGGAGAACCTCCGGACTTCGAGGGACCGAACAGTAGCAGCGAAGGAAACGAAACGGCACACCAAGAAATAAGGAAGCGCTGCTTCCCGCTGAAAACATGCAATGAGCAAGAACCACATAAGCAATGAAGACAAACCAGCTGGAGGTTGGCACGTACGATTTCGCATGGCATAATCTGTAAGACAGAGAAGGTCGTGTTAGATAATGACCAACAACGTTAACCCGTACCAACCAGTCAAAGTATCCGGGGGCACAACCAAGCTCGTGCTTCTTCAAGCAAGACCAAAGTCACCATCAATGGCGTAGCTAGGCGGATGACGAGAGCTTTAAGCCCTTTGTTAAGGTGAGCCGTTCTAGCAGGAACACAAGAGACAGCGGTCGTTTATGATACGTTCAAGCCACGTGACAAAAACATGTACAGGACGTACTGAAACAGTCGCTTTCCATTAGATAACCCCTTGGTACAACATTTAAACGTAACGCGAATTGGGTTTATGAAGCCATACTGCCACTCAATTGAAATAAGGTTCAACCAGCAGGTTTTGAAATCTGACCCTGCCCCATTGGATGAGCCGTGCCGAGGCAGAGTAGCAGCCTGCTTACCTCCCAGCAAGCTGTAGCCCCCATACGTGTTGAAGATGAAGGGGCATCCATACACCAGGTAAGCCGGGGTCACCCGGGTCGACTTCTGCACAAAGTATGCAAAAGCGTTAAAGACGTAGCTCAATGGTTTAGAAATAGCGATCTTTTTGCCTCTTAAAAGCGTGCTCCGAGCTGGGGTATCCGTTGTTCAAACTTGGGTAAACGTTCCCAGGTGTTGTTCAGACAGTACCCCGGAGCTTTGCCCACAGGCTATTGCAGGCACAAGCGGGCTGGGCACATGGCGCGGCACTCACCAGTGGGTCTTCAAGTATGATGAACTGGACGTAGTCGTCCGGGTGCAACACGAGGCTCGCGTTGCCGGGGAACGTAAACGAGAGCAGGGGGAAATTTGTGTTGGCGTCGTACGGCGCTCGACTGGTGGCAAGGGCGGCATCCAGCTGGTAGCACGTGGGGAAGCCGAGGCTGTTGGCAAAAGAAGGGGTGCTGCCGGGCGGGGCAGGTGCGGGGGGCGGGGAAGGGGTCGGAGGTGTCCCGCCGTTGAGGAGGGTGTTAAATGAGACGGGAGGAAGAGTGACGCTCTTATTCAACTGCGGAAACGAAGGTCGACGGAAGGACACGGTTTGAAGTGCGGAAATTCTCTCCTGCCAGTATGTGAATGGATAAGAAAGAGCCGTGAACGGTATCCTGCGGTGTGATCAATCAACGACAGACTAATTAAGGCGAAAACCCAGGAAGTTGCAAAGGAAGCTCCACACCTACGAACCCCGATCAGTCCGACTATCAGTAGGTGAACCAAAGCTGCCAGTTTTCGTTGGGCAGTCCTGAGTCGGCAACCTCTAGTTTATCGTTTCGATGGAGGAAGTTGGCCAGAGTCACAAGAAACGCCACATTTCCCGCTGAGACGGCCGGCTGCCTCACCTGTGCAAAGATGGCGTTGTACAAGAGGCTGGGGAGGGCAATCAGGTCGGAGCCGGTGTCAAAGATGGCATCGGGCCGATCGTTGGATCCGTTGTAGAAGGCAGCGGCGGACGCGTTGAGCGTGACGTTGCCAACCGTCACGGAAGTCATGGTCGCATTGTAGAGCCTGCAGGGCCACAGACGAAGCAGCCCGGCATGAGACAGGAGCAAACAGTGCAGCTGGAGCGCCTGCCGAACTTCCGTTAACAGCAACTTAAACTCTGAGGAAAACATCGGCACATCCTGGCAATTAGTCTCAAGTCAAAAGCTGGATAATCTACGAAGTACACTCGATGAGTCGATGACTGCTCTTGCGGAGGCTCACGTGTCTAGGGAGCCGTTCCCCATGGGTGTGTACACCATTGCTTGGGGGGGCATGGTATCGTTGCCAAACAGCAGCGCGCCGCCTCCTTCAAAGCCGCCCAGGCACACGGAGAAGGAGTCCTGCTTGATCTTGCCGGCCGCATACAGTTGGCTGGGGATGGACAGATTGGAGCGCCCCAAGCCAGCGAGGCCGTTCACCTTGGAATTCGTGATCAAGCCTGGAGTCTCAGCAATGTCGCACCTACGCAGGGTACAATACACGCCTCTATAAGCTGCTGATAGACTGCCGGTCGAAGCTTCTCTGCCGCTAGGCCCTGGGCGACGGACCTTCAGCATATTGTTTCCAGCCACAGTGGAACAAACGTACCACTGCCCCACAAACTTTCCCACTGAACAGAATCATCTCAGATGAAGGCACAAAATCAAATCAGATGGATCCACCGCTCACCCAAAAGTGATGGGTGTGCCCAAAGTGGTTCCGCCCAGTTGGGAGAAGGTGATCATGTCACTCTGTACGTTAAAGAGCACCTGCGAGTTGTCCCCATAACCGTAGACTGACTGGCAGACATTGGAGGGGGATGGCGCGCTCATTCCGGAGCGCGTGCATGCTATGCTGCACTGCCCCACCGGGCACAGCGTTGCATTTAGCGAGGGGCACTGGCTGCACGCGGCATACGTCGCGGTGCTGGAGGCAGACGAACGATACGGGACAACCTGCGCACAGAAAAGAAGTTGCGGAAGCCGTCAGGAGGGCAAGGGATGTTGTTGCTGCAAGGGGCCAGCCGGACACGGCCCCAGCCCAGGGAGTTTCGGCTGACTCCACAATCTATGAGTGAAAAAGGCCATGCCAAGAACATGCCGGGAGACATAATGTTCCAACTTGCACTAACCAGCCATTGATTGCCCTCTTGGAAGTATGATCAAGGCACTGTGCTTGACGTAGCCGGAAACTAACACCAGTGAGTTCTAGAGCACCACAAAAAGACTGGGATATACTGTGGGCCACGGAAGGAGTCTCTGAGGTAGGGAGGTTGAGCAGCATTCCAATGTCTCTTGAACAACCTTGCATCGATACCTTGGTGGGAACACAGTAGTTGCCACATTCGTGGCACTGTATCCAGAGGAGATCACTCCCGCTGTCAATCTGCACAGTGGCCGTCTGTGTTGGGGGGGTTCCTAGCTTGAGGGTAGCCCAGTACAGGCTGCAGGCAACAGGTCCACAAACGTGCGGCGTCAACTGGGCCCAAACACGGGAGAATGTGCGCAACCAAGAGAAGGACGTACGGTCATCAAAGCTCTCGCTTTGGGGCACTGCTCATGACGTCTAGCAGTGACGTCATGCATGTGGCCACCTCTCAACATCAGCACCATTTAAGGCGTCATCACAAGCTCCGTGCAACCAATCTGCACCAACGAGTTGTCTATGATTGCGAGCGCACCTGTCAACATCAAGCTCTCCTTGCAGCGCTGTCGCATTGGGGTTCGCTCCCAGTGGCAGTGTGCTTGCCAAGAGGTGCCGCCGCCGCGTGCGCTCCGGTGCCTTCCCAAACGCACTTGCATGCCGTCTCTCAAACCGTTTGACGGCCTCAAGGACGTACGTGACAGTGGCGAGGGGGCGCCCTCCCAAAATGTCGCTTCGCCTGGTGAACCAACGCGTGGAGCCTTCCTCTTGGGGGATGTGCTCACTATGGCTGTGGCCCAATTCATGATACAGGGTATCAGCGGAGGCTATATCCTTCACATGTCCTGCAAAGCGTGGCGGCCAGCTTCCTTCCCTTGCTCCTGCCTGTCTCTGATGGGGGTCGCGAGCAGCTTCCACCCCCCCCGCTAGCACCACCAACATCAAAGTTGATAGGTAGACCAGAGTGCCCGGGCTGAACGTCATGCTTCCAGATTCTTGACTGCCCTCCGCTGCTGTCCCTCTCAAAGTGGTTAAATTGGTGACCTTTGCGAAGAACATGCAGGTGAGCCCCAGGATCCAAAAGCGTCCCCCTCCGCACAGATTATGCATACATCCCAACGAACAGAGGGGGCCTGCTGCTTATCTTAGAGCTGTGCCGCCATATGCCCTTGCCCGCACCCACTACCTATTTGGTTGTCAACATGCTGGCCGTGGCGCCCCACCCCGGGCCCCAGGGCCGCAGTCTCATGCAGCCCTTGCATGCAGCTCAGCTCAACCGGGTCAAGCCTGGGTCAAGCTTGACCAGAGTGATACAATCACACCATCGAGCTTTCACAGTCCGGTTGGTCAACCAAGGTCCGAGCGGTTCTTGGCTGTTGAACGGAAGTCGAGTCTCCGTGTACCGGTCAATCAATCAATCAATTTATTTTATA